CCAGTTCACCCCTTCAACTTCCCCCTTTAGATGGAAAGTGAGAGGGGGGCTCCTAACCCCCCAACCCTACCCCCTTTCCTCTCCCACTCCCTCCAGACTCACACTGCCTCCCCAGAAGAGCCGGCCTCGGCCCTTCAGCTTAGAGTAGACATATACCACCTGGCCCCTGTGTATGGTCAGGAATCGGCAGTCTGGGGCTATGTAGTCCTGCAAGGCCACCGCCATGGAGATGGGGTCTGGGGAAAGAACAGAAGGGAATGACAACATCCCCCATGTGGCAGGCAACACAGGCCCTTCTGGCTCCCGGACCCCCAATCCCAGCCCCCATCTTACGGCTGCATTCTTCATCGGCACAAAGCTTCCGGTCAGCTAGTTTGGGCATGGAGCGGCCCCCGATGCTAGGCCCAGGGTAGGTAGACAGTAAGATGAATACGCCCAGGAACACCAGTGAGCAGGCCATCGTGGACGAGGAGCAGGAGTGATCGGGGGGGATACAGGCTCTGATTTGGTCCTGTCGGGCTTCTCTCTCCAGCCCAAAAGGGAAACCTGTGTGCTGTCTTGGCCCCTCCCTAAACCCCAGCCCAAATTTGGCTCATACCTCCGGGAGACTGCTTAGTCAAAACCATTTCAAGGATCGGGTAAGGGCTGCCAGCCTAGGGAAATGCCTGGTTGGGCCCCATCCTGCTCAGGCCCCTCTGAACAACTGCAGCCCTGAGCCTGCTGGGGTGCCTGGGCCCCTCCAGGGACAGAACCCGAGAAGCCAGCTGGAAAACTTCACCCTGGAATTTCCTGAGCTGAGGGGCAGCAGAACAAGGCAGCCCTTTGAGAAAAGACATGCCCCTGCCTCTGCCCCAAGTCCTGAGTGTGTATTTTGTGGCGCCTTAAGCAACAAAGGCCCATCCAGGATCATTCTGAATCCTCACAAGCCCTTTCCCAAGCTGGTGTCCCAGACAAAGCCACTTCTTTGAGCCACGTTGTGTATCTGGGTGGGAAAGGGAGGTTGGTGCACACCCAGCAGTGCTCAGGAGCTATATTCCTATATTCCTGGCTCTCAGGGATCACTCCTGATTGTGCTCAGGCTGCATATAAGGGCCTTGACTCCTCGACAGTCTCTCTGGCTCTGGCCTTTATGTGCTTAGGATTTTTCTTATTTACTTTTTAAATAGGAGCTAGAGCTCTTTATTCACTTTTGGGTCACACCGGTAATGCTCTGGAGCTACTCCTGGTTCTGTGCTCAGGAATTACTCCTGGGAGTGTACAGGTGGCCCATATAGGATGCTGGGGATCGAACCTAGGTCAGCTGCATGCAAGGAAAATACCCTCCCCACTGGAGTACCACTCTGGCCCTGTATTTTTATTTTTTTGGTCTGGGGGCCACACCCGGCTATGCCCAGGGCTAACTCCTTGCTCTGTGCTCAGAGGTCTCTCCTGGCAATACCCAGAGGACCCTAATCCTTGCTAGGGATCTGACGTGGTAAGGCAAGCTCCTTACCTGCTGTACTCTCTTCTGCCCTTTGGGCCGGGGTTAGGTGTTTCGGCCACATCTGGCAGTGTTCCAGGCTTACTCCTGGCTCTGTGCTCAGGGATCAAACTCCTAGTGGGGCTCAGGGTGCCAGAAATCAAACCTTGGTTGACCATGTGCAAGACAGGCATCCACTGTACTACTCCTCTCCCTCCTTTTAATGTGTTTATATGACCTCTAATATATGCTCTGCAACAGCATAGGTAGGGACATTAGCACCCTATTTTACATAGGAATGCATGCGTTGAGTTAGTCTGGTTTGAAGTGACATGTTGAATGGCGGCAGGCCCACACCCATCATGACTGACACCTGTTCAGCCAAAGGTCACAATGGGAGTGACAGGATCTGGACTCTTCTCACTACGATTGTTTCAGCTCACTCACCTCCTTCCACTCAGCCTGGGCTATAATTCCATTGTGGAGAGGGGAAAAGGACACACACTCAGGCGTGAGGTAAGAAAGGTTCATGATGGGGCTGGAGGAATAGTATGATGGGTAAGGTGCTCGCCTTGCACACAGCCAACCTGGGTATGATCCCTGGCATCCCATATGGTCCCCTGAGTACTGCCATCAGTGATTCCTGAATGCAGAGCCAGGAGTAATCCCTGAGCATCACTGGGTATGGCCCAAAAGTAAAATAATAATAAGGCTCACTGGGGGCCTGTACGTACCAACATTCAGCACCAGCACCAACCAGGTCACCACCTCAGGGAAACTTTCCTTGATCACCCCAATTACCAGGTCTCAGCCCCACCACCCATTGTTGTATAATTGTCCAGATGGTCCCAAACTTAAAAAAGTCAAACTTAACCTGTGTGAAAACAATATTTTTTCTTTTTTTTTCTTTTGCTTTTTGGGTCACACCCAGCAATGTACAAGGTTTACTCCTGGCTTTGCATTCAGGTGGAATTACTCCTGTGGTACTGAAGCCATAGCACAGTGGGTAGGGCATCTGCCTTGCACGCAGCCAACATGGCCGACCCGAGTTCGATTCCTCCGCCCCTCTCGGAGAGCCCGGCAAGCTACCGAGAGTATCCGATATGCCAGACACAGTAACAACAAAGTCTCCAATGGAGACGTTACTGGGCCCGCTTGAGCAAATCGATGATCAACGGGAGGGCCTACTCCGGGGAACCATATGGGATGCTGGGAATCGAACCCAGGTCAGTGGTGTACAAGGCAAATAACCTACCAGCTGTGCTTATCACTCCAGCCCTGAAAACTACATTCTGTAAGAGCTATACTAAATTTTGATTTTTTGGGTTTTGGATCACACCTGGCAGTGCTCAGGGGACTGTATGGGGTGTGGGGGATCAAACCAGGTCTGCTGTGTGCAAGGCAGGTGCCTGACCCTGCTGTACTATCATGGCAGCCCAACTCTGACGTTGTCAGAGTAGATACCTATGCGGCCTCACACCCACGAGGCCAGTGTTCTACCAGGGAGCTCGTGTCCAGCCCACTATTCCCTCCAAGCTAGATGTGGCAGTGGCCATGGGACACCTCCCTTCATGTCACCAATCCCCACCTTTCTCCTGATCTCACTGGATGAAACTCAGATTGTGGTGAACAGAGCAGTTTCCTGAACGTTTAAAGTAGATCTAAACTAAACTATGTTCAGCAAGTTATAATAAATGCACTGACTTACAACTGGGGGTGGGGAAGGGGGCACTGATTAGGGGGACCATATAGTGACGCTATCAAATGAGGCTTGACCACATGCAGAGCAGTGTCTTAATCCCCCCACCCCACCCCACGACTGTGCACGAACTCAGGGCCTCACATAAGCCAAGGGCGCCTCGCCCCTAACCCATTTCTAAGCCCCACTGGAAATAAAAGCTCTACCTGGACTTCACCAGGTTGCCTGTTCTCACCAGAATGCCCCCCCTAAGCAACATATTGAACCTCTGCATGCTCATCATTTGCTGAACTGATTTTCAAGTACCTGGCAGTGAGTGTGCTTGACTGTTGGGGAGTGACAAGCGAACATCACCCCAATACTAACCCTAAGAGTCTCCTCTAAACCAGGAAGATGAAGCTCAGAGTACAAACCATCTATGGCCACTGGGAGCAGTTAGGGAAGAGTATTCCCCACCTTTTAATGCACCCATCAAACTCTCTCCTTCTTGCAAAGTCTATATTTGGTCTCCCGAGACTTCGTCCCTTGATTCAAACATGTGCGCCTCTTGTTTTTTTGTGGGCAACACCCAGAAGTGCTCAGGGGATCATGTGGAATCAAGGACTGACCCTGGGACTCCTAAATGCAAAGCAAACCCTCCAGCTGAGTCACCTCTCCACCTCCTGATTGACCGTTTTTAAATTTTGAAGGGGTACGGAGGGCAGCCATACCCAGCAATGCTCAGGGCTATTGCTGGCTCTGCACTCAGGATGCACTTCTGGCAGTGCTCAGGAGACCATATGGGAAGCTGAGGATCGAACCCAAGTCTGCCAGGCAGGCCCTGTACTCTCTGCAGCCATCTTGATGCACTTTAGACAGGAAGGGCTGCACAATGCTTAGAGCACCAAATTAATGGATGTATTTCCTCTTTTCTAGATCGGTGATCTCAAGAAGTCTCCTGATTCCCCCACTTGCATGACTAGAGATCAAATCTAGGACCTCAGGGGGGTGAAGTTTGCTCTACCACTTGAGCCGCGCCCCTAACCTGTACACATTCTTTCTCCTCTCTCCTCAATTATCAAGTGAATGAAGGGGTGTGAGCACACACATGCTCACCAGTAGCTGCATTTCCCGCCTGGTGCTGGCATCTTTTCAGCTGCGGTGCTCACACCTGGCAGCCACACAGCCCCAGTGGCCTGCAGCAGGGGGCGCCAGACGGCTAAATGGCTGGCTTTGAGTTCAGCACATGTAGTATAGCCCTGGGGATTGATTCCTGCGGATTCTCAAAACCACTGAGCTCCCTCTTTGACCCCTGTGGTTCATTACTGGTTCTGAGAAATACCCTGATTTCCCGTTCCTATGTGAGCAAAGGGTACTTGAGCCCGTGAAAAGATGTTCGGTAGACAGCTATGGAAGGCCCCCCATTAGATCTCCCTTATGCACAGTTGTTAACAATCCAGTTCCCTTTCTCTCCAGCTGGTTCCAGATGCTGCCTGTGAAGTAGCCTCGTGCCTTGTTCCAGCATCAGGTCAGTGGCGTCCCAGATGGGGTCCATGCAGTCAGGGGACTGCAAAAGTGGCACTTGGCTGAACCCAAGACTCTCCTTCAGGGCTGCAGATGGGGGCATCCTTGGCCAGGCCACTGCCTGCCAGAATATTATGTGGCAGTCTGGGATAAAATTTCCTGCCTGAATGCTAAGACGAAAAGAACTGTCAGTCAAAGCAGTAACAATGACCTCAGTAGAGTACCGTGACACTCTTCCCTATTGTCCCAAGGTTACAAATATTGAGGTGCAAATACCCAGAATATTCTGACGTACCAGGAAGGGCTACGCAAAGACACGGAAATGGAACGGACCAAGGGTTGTGAAAAACCAAACGTCAACTTTAATTCCGGCCTAACAGCGCCAGGTGCAATGTCTGGGGACAGACTCTGGGTACAATGCTGTGTGACCACACACTCGCACACACAGCTCCAAGAAGGCCCCTGAGGGGGACTTACCTTCAGGGGGCTGAGCCAAAGAGGGAAGGGGAGGTCCCCAAACAGGGGTGAGGGGCAGGCCAGGGGTGGGGGGGAAAGGTGCTACTTCTTGGCAAAAGATATCTTCATGGCATTGTTCTGGGTGATCTTGAAGCCTTGCAGGGCATCTCGAGCCGCCCCTGCCTGCACCTCGTTGTCAAACTCCACAAAGGCAATGTCATGCCGCCCGGGCACCAGCCGTACCTCCTTGAAGCCAGGGAACCTGAAAGAATGACAGCCCAGGGATTCAGATGGGGGCATTTCCCTGAAACATTCTGGGGCACCTAGGGGTTAACTTATAACACAAAGGACAGTCCTAACAGTCAATTACCCAGCACATAATGCTGAACTGGGAACCCAAATAGAAACGAGTTCATACATTGCAAGCACGTCACTTCGGACCCCCGTAACCTGGGCTAGCAGTGTAGCTCAACAGCTGAGTGGCTGGTTCAAACGTGGGGGGAGGGGGGCTGGAGTTCATTCCCCAGGACCATAAAAATCAATAGAACACTGCTGACCTGAGTCCTTCCCCATGTGTAACCCATCTATCTCCACTCCAAAAAGATCCCACTGTCTGGGTGGGGTTAAGGCACCCTACTTTTGGGTCACTCCTGAGCAGAGCCACAGTAGCCCCTAAGGACTCCTGGGTGTGCTCCCTGCCAATCCCCCCTTCCCTCTGCTGTTGCTGTGATGACGGGGAGAGGGGACAGGGGTAGAGGCACACACACTTAGGGCCACATCCCTTGGCTGATACTCTGGCACAGTTGAAGCACTTCCATGGTACTGCTGAGCTGCTTTTTCTGCTATTTCCCTGTCCTCCCTCCCCCACAGGGAGCCATGCTGTATAAGAGGTACCCTATTTCTCCTGAGCGTTCTTAGAAAGGCATTCTTTGAGCTGGAAAGACAGAATGGAGTAAGGCGCATGCCTGGCATACCCGACCCACTCTAGAGTCCCCTGTACAGAGCCAGGAGTCAGCCCCGAGTCCTGCCCGCTGTGGCCCCAAAGCGAAGAAATAAAACTACATCTTTAGGTGCAAATGATGTCTAGTTCTCTCTCTCTCTTTTTTTAGGTCACACCAAGCAATGCTCGGGTTATTCCTGGTTCTGTACTCAGGAATTACTCCTGGCAGTGCCCGGGGGACCATATGGGATGCCGGGGATTGAACTCGGGTTGGTCGCATGAAAGGCAAAAGCCCTACTCGCTGTACTATGTCTCCGGCTCAATGTTTGGTTCAAAAAATACCTCAATTTCACTGCGGCTCTACATATACCTACACCTCTCCAAGATTTTTATTGCTGTTTTTGGGCCACACTCAGCAATGCTCAGGGGTTATTCCTGGCTCTGCATCAGGAATCACTCTTGGCGGAGCTCAGGAAACCCTATGAAATGCAGGGATTGAACCTGAGCAAAGCAAACACTCTCCCCACTGTACCAACACTCCAATTTTAACTTAGAAAGAGGCCAGGGTGAATTGATAAAGGCACATCCATCTGCCTCATCTACAAAGCTAAGCAAACTCAGGGCGTGGACAGAACCAGCCCCACCTCCGTGGGGACACTGCTGCCCTCCCCATCCAGCCCCACGTACTGGTTGAAAAGCATGGACAGCATGAGCTCGTTGGTCTCTTCAGGCAGGTTGGTGAGGAACAAGATGTGATTGGGTGGGTTTTCTGAAAGCTGTGAGGCAGAAACAGGATGCATGAGTGTGTGGGAATCCAGCACGCCCACCAGGCATTCCCAGCGTTCCTGCATGGTAAGCCTCCCCACACCCCTTAAATCCCATAGACTGCAGGGCACGGATACGTGCATAGGCTGGTGCCTGTCACGAAGTTCCGGAATGAATGAAAATGAACAGAGGCCGGCCCCCATTCCCCCCAACACCCCACTTCCTCTCAAGTCCCCCCCCACCTCTACTCAGCTAATCAACCCACAGCACTTCTAGGGTGCCAATGCACACAGCCCACCCTTCCCCTCTTCTTCTGTGTTCTACTGTAACGAGACCCGGGGTATCTCGGGACTAAGCACTTACAGGCTGGGCAGGTGGCATCTGACCAGGCATGAGCTGCTGAGGGGGCATGGCCCCTGGGGGGAGCTGGCCCGGTGCGAGGCCTGGCGGCGGGATCATGCCAGGTGGCGGCATGTAGGGAGGCTGGCCCGGCATGTGGTGCATGATGCGGGGTGCCTGGGTCATGGGTGGCATGCCCTGTAGACAGAGGGGTTGGGAGTTAGAGGGGTGCAGGTGGGGACACATGGAGGAAGACCCAAACAGAACCAGAACCCAAGGGAACAGTTAAGCAAAAAGCTCTAACAAAAAACATACCAAACAAAAAATTAGCCGTCTCCTAGCACCTAAAGAAACATTTCTGATTTTTTTTAAGTGTTGGGGGGGTGACACAGCTATGCTTGGGACTTACTCCTGGCTCTGTGCTAATTCCTGATAGGCTGCAGGAGATCCTATACAGGGCAGAGGGTTGCACCCCTTGTAAACGATACAGAAAGTGCATGACCCACTGTCCTCCTTCTCTGGCCCTTATTTCCTTAGTCCTATCCAGAGGACATTCACCCTCTTTTGTTTGTGGTGATACCCTTGATCCAGTGCCCAGCATTTTCCGCATAGTAGATGCTCAATGGAACAATTTTCGTGAGGGGACGGAACTAAAGGGGGGATGCCAGGGGTTGATCCAATGATTGACCCTTGAACATGCAAAGCATGAACCCCACTGCCACACCTCCAGTGGCAGCTTCCGGGGAATGCTTTACATCTTTTGTTGGTCTCCTTGGAGAGTTTTTTTTTAAATCACTTGAAGTCTACTTGTTTATTAGTTTTGGGGAGGAGGTTGGGGCGGGTGTGTTATGTGTTGTGTGTGTGTGTGTGTGTGTGTGTATGTGTGTGCGCGCATGCACATCAGGTGAACTCAACTCAGACACTGAAGCTGGGTCAGCTATGTTCAAGGCAAGTGCCCTACCCTCTGTACTATCTCTCTGACCTGAACTCATTTGTCAGCATATGGAAATAAAACCGGCTTTTTTTCCATATTGACTTTACATCCTGTTATTTTCCAGGATTAAGTCCATTAATAGTCATCTCTGAATGATCTACTAATAAAATCATTTAAAGATACAAACTTCAGAAGCAGGGAGGCCGGGAGAGGTTTTTCCAAGTACACAGACCATCACCCCAGCACTACACAAGCTCTACAGGGAATGGAGGTGGGAGTGGGCTCAGGGAGCGACCTCACGCCTAGTACTGCAAGGGTCAAGGTTCAACCCCAAAGCCCAGTGTGTGTTACCACTAGCATGATGACAATGGGGGTGGGGGAGGAAAAGAGGCTGGGTGAGCTCAACTGGCTCAGCATGTGTTCTGCATGCAGGAAGCTGGGATTCAAGCTTCAATACCCCACGATCCCCTGGTAAACTTAGAGCCCTAGTTATCCCTGAATACCACCCAGTGTGGCCCTCAGCTCCCCAAAGAGAGAAATACAAAGGAAAGGAAAATGAGGGGAATGGGGAGCTTGAACTCTGCAGGGAGAACCCTCCTCAACACCCCCCCACCCCGCTTACCGGGACGGGCCCCTGGACAGCACCTACAACGGGCGCAGCCGCCCCACCCTGCACAGCCTTCTTGGCCGCCGGCGTCTCTTGGCTCTTGGGCTTCCTCTTCTCCCGCTTACGGTCCCGTTCCACGAAGGTGCCCTTCATCTTGGCAATGATATCCGAGTCGGTCTTCGCATACTGGATGCGCTGCAAGCAGAGAGCAGAGGCTGAAGAGAGGGACTGCAGAGTCACACTGGTGGAGCATGGGCGCAGGGAGTCAGGCCCAAGTCAACCTTCATTCACATCAGAGAGAAGGGAGCAGTGATTACTCCCCACACACCAGGATGGAACTGGTGGCACAGTCAAAGACCAGCCTTGATGAGGGAGGGGAGTGGCAGGAACCAGTGGGAAGGAGAAGGCAGACGGCTATTTGAAACAGAGGGAGCAGACAGGGTTTTAGGACCATTCCCATGCATTCAAGCACAGGATAGGACCTACATTATAGTGAGGAATAGTGGGGAGGTAGGTCAGAGGGTGACCACAGGCTGGTGAGGGAGGGTTAGTCTCAGCTCAGGATCGCTCTTAGCAGTTTTCTGGGGACCATGAAGTACAGGGGGTGAACCTGTGCTCCAGTCTACACAGCTGGAGCCCGGGTCCCGGGTGGATGGCTCGTATGCACAGGGTCTATTTCTAGCTGCTCCAGAAATCAGAAACTCAAATACCCAGAGGTGACAACAGGCAGAGGCAAGAAAGCTGAAAGTTCCAGGCAGTGTGGCACTGCTTTCCACACAGAGGCAACTTGCTGTAGGACCTGCACGGACACTTACTGTTACTGAGATGGTCAGAGGCCACATTCTAACCAGGTGATACATGAGAATCAGAACAGACACAGGTGCAAAAAAGTGGGCTAATGGGCGCCAGGAATTCTCATCCAGGCTCTTTAAGCCATGTCTCCCCTCTGAACTGCAGACTCCTTGGCTTACTACTTACCCTTTGAGGTTGGTTGGTTTGTGGGCCAGTCAGTGATGCTGGTAGATACCCCTGGATTGCTGCTAAATGCAACGCATGTGCACCGGCCTCCCACTTACCTTCTGACTGTCCACCACCCTGTCCTGTTCTCTCCTCCTCCTCCTGCACAGCCTGGTCCTGGCCCAATGAACTAACCACCCCCCTGCCACACAGGTGCTGGCACACAGGCCTTACCAACGTGCTGCCTCTGCCTAACATTCTCTCCCTCTTCCCCCTCCTTCCCATCTCCCCTCACCCAAAGAGCCTTTCCTGAACCCCTAGACTGAAAGAGGTACCTCACCGAAGTCCCCTCCCCACACTTTGCTGAATTCCATCAACAGCCCTGACACCAGTGCATTTACAGCTCCACTGACAAGAGGGACAGGTATCTCCAGTCCCACATACATACTCAACCCCCCGAATTCCCCTCCAGTGCTCACCATGGGCTTGTCGTAGAAGGGGAAGCCCTGCATGGAGCGCAGGGCATTGGTGGCGCTGCTGACCTCCTTGAAGATGACGAAGGCCTGACCTCTCATCTTCAGGCTCCTTGAGACCAGAATGTCCAGGATCTGGCCAAACTGGGAGAAGATGGCGTACAGGGATTTCTTCAGCTCTGCAACGGGGGATGGCAGACCCATGGGTGACCAGAGCCCTTGGCATCACCTCCTGGACCCCAAGTACCCCTGTCCAGAGAAAACTGCAGCCGGACAGAAATTCCCAGGAAAAGTGACAGAACACACAGAATGTCATGGGTCAGCAGCCCTCCAGAGCAGCTGCCCAGGAGTCCAGTCAAGGGGAAAGGAAACCCCTGCAGGTGCTGCACAAGGCAAAGACCAGAGGAACTTCTTGCCCATGTCACCAATACCTTGACAAAGGCCTGAGTGACGTTGTCACGGCTGGTATCGCTCCACCTCCAGTCACTCTGCCCCCCTAATGACCCGCCTCAGCATCCTTGCCCAAATGCTCTACCAAGCATGCCTTGCTCCTGAGTTGTCCCTGGCTACCTCCTTCCAGTCACCCAGATCTCAACCTAACGCCACCACCTCAGAGGTCTACCTGGAGCATAGGGACTGATGCCCTCTCATGTGATGTCCCTCCTCAAAACCAGTTTGCTATCCTCATGGCACTGCCCACTCTCTGCCAACAAGCAGGTTCCCTTGCCACCAGGCTGTCCCCTGAAGACCTGAAAGCCCCCTCCACCCCCACTCCACTGCTCACCAGCTTTTCCCCAGCATCATGGGGAGGATATCATGAAGTACTTCACCGGGAGAATGCCATGGAATTCAGAACCACTCAGAGAGAGTAATTATTTTTTTTTAAACCAACACGGAAAGCAGCTCCAAGAGACTGAATAATCGGGAGGACTCACCCACAGTTGCAGGGAGCACAGACCCAGCAGAGCAGGGATCGGAGCCAGGGTCCAAGGGCTCTGCACCACTACCCCTCACTGCCTCTCCTCACAGCAGAGAAAAGAACAGGGTCAGATCTCACACAAAGGTCTGCCATGAGGCTCTCAGCCCAAAGGAGGAGCCCAGAGAGAGCTCCTGCCTTGCAAGCAGCAACTGTTCCTGGGTTCGAATCCCTGGTATTCCACAGGATTCTGGCACCGCAGCTATTTATTTGTGAGCCCTAGTGCTAAAAGGGGCGGGGGGGGGGGAGGGTTCTGGCAACAGCACAGGCTGGCATGAGAGGCACCTCAATAGAAAGAAAGCAACCTGGCACTCAACCCAAGTGAAGAAGACCCGTGAGCACCCCTCCCGCCCAGCAAGCACCTCAACTTGTGTCCCACTAGGAGGTCCTCTGGCATCTGTCCCAAGAGATCATTCACCACGCCCCCTCCAACTGCAGGACCAGAGGCAGCAGTGCCAACATGGAGATTCAGTCCCTGTAACATCCATGTGAACGATCTGCCCAAGTCTCAATTTCAATATAGTAATGGAGTACAGGAGAGGTGGCCGATACCGATTATATCCCCGCCACCATATGTTCCCAAGCCCAGCCAAGTGACACAACTTCCAAAATATAACTGAGGGGCCAGAGTGGTAGTACAGCAAGTAGGGCATTTGTCTTGCACACAGCCAACCCGGGTTCGATGCCCAGCACCCCATAGGGTCTCCTAAGCACTGCCAGGAGTGATTCTGGGTGCAGAGCCAGGAGTTAGCCCTGATAATTGCTGGGTGTCCCACGGACAAAACCTAAACAAAATGGAGGATACAGGGCTGGAAGGCAGTACAGAGGGTTGGTGTGCATGCTCTTCATACAGGAACCCTAGGCTTGATCTCCAGCACTAAATGATCTCCAAGTACCCGCTGGAATGATTCCCAAGCAGAGTCAGAAGGAGTACCAGCTGGTGGGGCCACAAAAAAAGGGGTTGGGGGCCTATAAGGTCCCAGAAAGTCCGTAAGTTATTGAAGAAAAACTGGAAAAGTATACCTGACGTCAGCAATATAAGTGGGGGATGGGATGCCCTCCCACATCCTTGATGCTACAAGTGCTCTACACCCCCTCTCCCCCATAATCTAATCCCGAAGCCCAAGCTTCAGTGCTGCTGGCTCCAACCCTTGCTGCGTGTGACCCTGGGCAAGCTACGGGAGCCCTGGCCTCAGTCTCCTAGCTTGAGAAATGGGAACACGGGCTCCTTCCTGCAGCCTCGCGAACAATGAACCTCAGAGCAAGATAAGGCATCAGGCCTTGTGAGCCTGATCAGGCGTGTGTGAGCCACCGTTGTTCCGTCCTCTCTCCGATATTTGAGAAATCTTGCGTTTAGTCCGAGACGAGGAGAGTGACTAATTTCCAGGCTTCAGGCTCATGGAGCTCAAGTAAATCACGCCCACCCCCCATCAAAGCCATAAGGATGCCAAAACCGGGGGGGGGGGGTCTAGTGGGGGGAGGAGGGTCCGAAATCTAGAGGAAGTGAGAAGCTTGTTGCTCGAGGAAGTCGTGGGCAAAAAGGGTTGAGGGAAGGCTTCTAGAAGGAGGAGTTGCGAGTCGATCGACAGTGACCAGGAGGGTGTGTACGACGTGGGGCGACTGAGAGAGGGGCCGACTGAAAGGGCGGCGCGCGCGAGGCTCCAACAGTCGGGCTGGAGGGAAACGGAGAGCGGAGGATGCCGGGAAGGCGGCGGGCGGGGGAAGAGTTCATGCAGGACGGTCTGGAGACAATTCAACTCCCCCGAGAACTCACCATCCTTCTTGATCTTCTCGTTGAGATTGTTGATATAAATAGTGTGGTTGGGGCGGGCCTCGGGAACCGCCATGGAGCGAGACGCCGAGGGAGGGCTGAAAAAAGGAAAAACTTCAGCACTTGGTTTCTCCAAAAATCTTTTTGCCCCCAAATGGGCTCCACTGGCTGCTCCTTTGTGGCGGAAGGCGCGGGGAGGAACGAAGGAGAAGGAAGTTAAACCAAAACGCGAGCGCGCGACACTGCTCCTTCTCCGCGTGGTGCGGGAACGCGCCAGGCGTTTACTACCACTCCCAGGATGCCTTTCGCGACCAGTGGGCGGAGCGTCCCGAAATGGCGATTCTCATTGGTCTATACACTCAAAGGGGCGGGCCAGGGCCAGGAGAAAGAACCTGGATGTAATAGCTAGCTAAGTAAGGAAAGAGTCCTTGGCTTCTCAGTGGGAACTAGTTTTCCTACGCGAGACACGTGGAGACCCGGAGTCAGGAGCACCACCCGTCTGGTGCCGAACACCAACTGCGCCCTCATAGCTCACCTTGAAAGAGCCACAAGTTCCCACAAGTGGCGCTTGCTTTGTGATCGGGTTCCTACACAAAACTCAGTCCCGGCCCCGCCTTTGCCGTCCTACAAGCCAATATCCGCGTGGAAACTCGACGTAGAAACCAATTAGACTAAGTCTCGTCCCTGAGCCCCAATCAAAGTCAGGCGTGGATTCCCGCCTAGGCAGGGAAAAGCCCGCCTCCTGGGAGACAGACCAATGGGAGAAGACCGCGCCTCCTCAGGCGCTTCTCGCCAATCGTGACTCGGCTCGCGCGGCCGGTTCATCCGGAGGCCGTCCGGGCAAAGGGCCTCGGCCGCCCACGCCGCGCGCTGTCACGTGATCGCCGGGAGCGGGCGCGAGGGGCCGCCCCCCACGTGACTGGCGAGGGGCGGGGTGTTCCGCGGCCGCCATTTTGCGGGCATGGGAGGCGCGTGTCGTTTCCAGCCTCCGTTCTCGGGCTCAGCTGTAACACGTCTCGCAGTCACCTCAGCGTTCTCTCAGCGTTCCCGCGCCCGGGGAGCGCTTTCTTGTTGCCCCCTGGTTTCGGGACCTTCTCCACAAATGGGCCGCTTTTCCCGCTTGTAGCTTTTTGACCTCTTGACCTCCTGACTCAAAAGGTCAGCTGGACGTTTTTGAACTCGGGCCGTGGGATGTGAGGGGAGGGCCGAGTCAGAATTCCCGCGGTCTCTAGCCCAGCTGTTAGTCCCCCAGACGAGGAGCGTGATTAACTCTAGTCTCCAGGTTTTGCATACCCCTCACTAGGGTCTGCGCTTCGGGATCCCAGAGTTGACCCCTGCGCTTGACATCTCTGACCCGGAAGAAGAAGAAGTGCACTGTCAGTTTACCCATCGCCACGATTTGCATTCCCTCCGGAGTCAGCCGTGGCTGCTGCATCACGGATTTTAGCCCTAGGACTTGTCCGTCTCCTTCAGCCTCCAAATTTGGCAATTCAGCTCGAAATACCTCCCTCCCTGAGACCAACCCTTTTTTGGGGGAGACTTCTCGCTTGGGTTCTCTGTAGATGCCACTGAACCCCGAGATGATCTCTCCATGCGCTCCTCAAGAGTCGCCAGTCCTTCCTTCAGGAGCCCCGGCACCCCAGACCCCCATCGTTCCTTCACCTCCTCCCCTACCCCCAAATATCTCTGACTTAACTTTCCCACTTCCCAATGGCCTGGCGGCCCCTGCCCCTCCACCCCCACTGCCGCCTCCACCCCCTGCTAGAGGGGTTGCTCCCCCTCATGTATTCGGCCTGGAGAAGAGCCAGCTTCTGAAGGAGGCCTTGGAGAAGGCCGGCCCGGTCCCCGGGAGCAAAGAGGACGTGAAGAGACTCCTGAGGCTGCAGAAGGACCGGTAGGGTGTCCCCGACCCACCCTGGCTTCTCTTGTGGTCCACCGTTTTCTCAGGGCTTATTTCTGATTCTGTGCTCAGAGATCACTCCTGGTGGTACTTGGGGGACTCCGTGGGCACTGGGAATCTAGCCCGGATGTGTTGTGTGCAAAGCAAGTGCCCTGCCTTTCTGTACTATTTCTCTGGCTCCTCATGCTCTCTTTGCATGCACGTGTGTGTGTGTGTGTGTGTTTGAGCTACACCCGGATGTGTTGTGTGCAAAGCAAGTGCCCTGCCTTTCTGTACTATTTCTCTGGCTCCTCATGCTATCTTTGCATGCTATCTTTGTGTGTTTGTGTGTGTGTGTGTGTTTCTTTGCATGCACGTGTGTGTGTGTGTGTGTGTGTGTGTGTGTGTGTGTATGTTTGAGCTACACCGGTGATGCTCAGGGCTTCCACCTGGCTTTGTAATCAGGGATCATGCCATGGGGCTCAAGGAACGACATGCGGTGACCAGGGATCAAATCCGGATGTGTTGTGTACAAAGCAAATGCCCTGCCCTCCTGTGCTATCTCTCTGGCCCCTCATCCTATCTTTGTGCGAGTAAGTGCATGCGTGTGAGTGTGTGAGATTGAGCTACACCTAGTGGTGCTCGAGACTTAAACCTGGCTTTGTAATCAGGGATCATTCCGTGGGGCTCAAGGAACCGTGTGGTGACCAGAGATTGTACCTGGGTCTGTAGAACTTAAGGCAAAGTACGTTACTTGTTGTACTGTCTCTCTGGGGATCTCCCCCCCCCCCCCACATTTGAAACTCTCATATTCCTCTTGAGTATAGTAGACTAGAGATTCAACACCTCCACTGCTGCCCCAGGGCCCCACAAGTCATGCTTTGTTTGGACCGTGCTCAGAATTATGTGATGGTCTTTTTTTTTTCCTTCATTTAATTTTTAAGCATCCCCCCCCCCCCACCGTGCCAGAGATTCAATGCAGGTTCACACATCAGAGGCCTGAAGTCTACCGCTGAGCTACAAGAAATATCCCACAGATTTTTTTTTTTTTTTGTGGCAGGGAAATGAGAAGGCCACTCTCTCCAAGGAGTGTCCTGCCAAGACAGCAGCAGTCGATGGGCCCAGGAGAGATTCGAGGGCCCCTAAGTCCACTGCCAGGCAGGAGGGAAAAGGGCTAGGCCTGAGGCTCGGGATGCTGGTTTCATGATGACTTGCCTGATTGAAAGGAAGCAGGACAAGTGACTCCCAGATTCACAGGAGAAAGAAACATCTAGCTCCCCAGACAAGTTCCCAGTCTGCTCTGGATCGCGATTGAATGCACCCCTCTTATAGAATTGCCTTGCGCTGCCCGGCAGCATTTTCTGTGTGTTTTCCAGTTTTCTTTGCTTGAGTTCTCTCAAGGTCTTTGCAGCAAGGAGCTATTGTAAGATACAGCCATCCTGGAGCTCTTAGAAAGGAACTGCTTAGCCACCAAGTTAAGAAGAGGGGAATCTCATGAACCAGAGCCATAGGACAGTGGGGAGGGTGTTTGCCTTGCACGTGGCTGACCCAGGTTCAAGTCCCAGCATCCCATGTGGTCCCCTGAGCACCGTCGGGAGAGTTCCCTGACTGTGGAGCCAGAAGTAAGCCCTGAGCACCTCCAGGTATGCCCCGATATCAAAAAGAAGAGAGGGACCTCAGTTTGAACTCTGGCCTTGGGACTCCAGGCGCTCTGCCACCCATCTGGCAGGCAAGCCTCTCCACAGGGGATGCCCTCAGTCTTGCCCATGCCTTGCCCACTCCAGAGCCCCAAGGACAGGGCAGGGCCCGAGATTACCTTGTGCTTTGGGAGTCGCCCCCTCCAGCATGTTTTATTTTGTTTTGTTTCAGGGTCACAGCTAGTGATACTCAGGGGTTACTCCTGGCTCTGTGCTCATGAATTACTCCACATGGTGCTCAGGGGACCAAATGGGATCCCAAGGATCGAACCCGAGTCAGCAGTGTGCGAGGCATACACCTCCAGCACCTCCAGCTTGTTTGTACTCTGGATCTTTCTCTCATCCAGGAGAGGACCTTGAGGGAAATCCCAGAAAGAGGTCAGACAGGAAGACACCCCTTGAGAAATTTCCCCCAGTAAGCTAGTGCTCCCTTGCCTTGCATGTGTCTGACCTGAGGTTCCATCTGAAGTCCCGCCAGGAGTGAGGTTTGATCTGAAGTTCTGCCAGGAGTACAGAGCCAGGAGTAAGCCCTGAACTCTGCTGAGTGTGCACCCCCCCAAAAAAAAAAGAAGCAATGCTGTCTAGCCCCTGATGACCGCCCATGGAGGGGGGCCGGGGAGGGGAGCCTCTGTTCCACTATGTGTCCCCGGCTGCACCTGGAGGACCCAGTCCCAGTGGGTTGTGTTCAGTTTCAGGAGTGACCTGCGGTGGCTCCTCTTCTGTGCTGACCTGCCGTCCCTCATCCAGGAAGGCCCCCAGTACGTGCCCCGCACCCCCCACCTGGGAGAGGGGACCTTTTGGGGCGTCAGGAGCCTGCCCGTCCACCAGCAGCTGGAAGGAATGAACCAGCTGTAGAGTAACCACTCTGGCATCTTCTGGGAAACATGGGTGACATCCCCCCTGCCCCTCCCACTTCACCCTGACCCTGCGGCCAGGTCCCCACATTCCAGCTGGGGCGGGGAGGGGGGCGGGCAGCCGGGTGAGGGGGTGCTGGGAAGACATCCTCAGGGTTGAGGGACTGGCCTGTCTCCGCAGGTGTGGGCTGGTAGCCTTGTGGATGGCGGGCGCCCTCCTGGTGCCCCCCAGTGGTGTCCCCCTGGAGAGGCTGGTGCAGGTCGCCCGGGATAGAGGCTTCACCGCCCAGGGGGAGATGTTCTCTGGTGAGTGGGGGCCAAGTGACCTCCAGGGGAGTCTGGGGAGGTCGAGGGGACATGGCGTGCCTGCTTCCTTTCCTCCTGTGCTTGTCCATACCCAGTAGGACAGTGGACTCTGGAACTGGGCTGCTGCGTGGCCACAGGTTGTCCGCTTACCCTCTCTGGGCCTCACTGTCTGTCCTGTTATGGATGCCCTGACCCCATGACCCCGCTCCGGGTTTGTTCCATCCTGCAGTGGCTGACATGGGCAGGCTGGCCCAGGAGGTACTGGGCTGCCAGGCTGAGCTGCTCTGCGGTGGCCTGGGCCCCCCAAACCGAGACCGCGTCCTGCAGCATTTGCTCGCCGGACACCCGCTGCTCATCCCGTATCCTGGTACTGGGCAGGGGTAGGGGGGACAGGGAACAGGCAGGTCCAGGGCCATACCTCGGCTTTGCCCTTAACCCCAGCTCCAGCTACGATGAGGACTTCAACCACGAGCCATGTCAGCGGCGCGGCCACAAGGCCCACTGGGCAGTAAGCGCAGGTGAGTATTGCGTCCTGCCTACCTCCCCCCCCCCCATGTCCTCACCCCTGGGGGCCACCAGGCATGTCAGGACTTGGGATAGCTGGGCCTCCCTGTCCCATTCTGGAAATTGGGGCGGGGGGGGGGAACAGAAGCACCCCATGCTCCCTTGGCTGCTTACAGCCCCTCAGAACCACCCCTCAGCCCATGCTTTAGTGTCCACTTAGTGGCAGATCTGCACCCTGCTGTGTGCAGCTGGCCCTGTCTGCCCACGTTTCTCAGGGGATCAGGGAGCATCCTTGGCCCCCCACTCACAGCTTCTTTCCCCAGGGGTCCTGCTGGGGGTGCCAAGAGTGCCGGACTTCGGTTATGCTGAGGACCCAGAGCTTCCCGGCCTGTTCCTGCCAGTGCCTGGTGTGGCCCACCAGCCACCCCCCTTGCCCGAGGACAGCAACCCAGGCCTGGTCTATCTCCTGGCTAAGCAGGGCAAGAGCTGGCACTACCTGCTGTGGGACTACGAGCACGTCCGTGAGAGCAACCAGCAATTGACTGACTTCTCGCCTGCCAGGGCCGCTGATGGTCGCACCTACGTGCTGCCTGCAGGCGGGGTGCGGGCCGGTCTCTGCGGCCAGGCCCTGCTGCTCACACCACAGGGATCCAGCCACTAGCCAGCTGTGCCATACAGCCCCCAGGTCAGAGTTCTGGGTGATGAGGTTGGGGGGAATCTGAGGACCTCCAGCCAGAGTCCTAATGGGGGGGTATCCCCCAGACTTCCCTGCTCTGTCCAGTCTCAAGCTCAGACATCCTGTTGACTCCCCCACCCCGAGCCCTGGTCCCAAGTATTAACTACTCTCTGTGTCCTAGCTGGAATAGACTGAGGAGTCCAAACCCTGATCCCCAGCCAACCCCTCCCCGCCCTTCTCCCCCATGCCCCATTCATCTGAGGCTATGGGGCAAGTGGGGTGCTGTCTACCCCCCACCCCCAGCCTGCACCTCTAGGGGCAGTAGGAAGGAGCCCGCCTGCCAAGCTCGCCTCTGTCCCAAACCCCTCATTACCCCATTACCCCACCCTGCACTGATGCTCAAATTAGGAGCTCAGAGCCCACACATCCCAGGTGCCAGAGGAAAATGCCACCAAGTCAACTTCAGCTGTGCTGTTTATTGGGGTGTGGTCACGGGGGAGGCACCCGTGGTGCCACTTGTGCCCTTTGCCCCCCGCTCTCCCCTGTGTAACCACTAGCATTAGGCTATATAAATAAGTACAAAGATGGGCAGTAGAAAAGCCCCCCACCCACCCCTGGAAGAACCACAACTTTGCCCAGGGCCTAGGAGGGGGCTGGTCTACCCCTCACAGCCAGCCCCTCTCCTGGGCTAGGAAACCAGTTATGTGGTGAAGGGGGCACCCTCACCTCAGGGGAATAGCATCTTTGGTTTAAACCAAGGTATGTGCCTGGGGTCGTGCCCAGCAGCCCCCTGGGAAGGCAGCCTGAAGGGGGTAGGTGTTGGGGTGAGTGGCTCCAGCCTTTGGGGGTTCTGATTGGCAGCAGTGCTGGCGTTTTCTCTCCCAAGGCAGGATGGGTCAACTGAGTCACCCCTCCAGATGGAGGATGAGGGGTGCCCACTTCAGGACTTGCTCCGGGACAGCACACAGGTGTGTCGGGGAGGGCGGGGCATCATTCTTATGTGGATGGGCTGATCAGGTCCATGCCTACAGGCCTTCAGTTCTCTTCCCAACTGGTAGTACCCCATCTTCAGACCCCACAAGTCCCTGGGGGTCGTGAAAGGACGGGGCGCCTACTGGTCTCAGGCCCCACCTTTCCCGACCCCCACATCCGAACACAGGGCTCCGGTGGCCAGACGGCACCTTCTGACAAACACACTGGCGCTGTGGGTCAGCTCCGGGCCAGCCCCTGCAGGAGGCCAATCATGTTGTCCAGGCCCCAGAGGTAGCCGTCCTCGCGATTGCCCTCAGCCCAGGGCAGCCGATGGCTGAGTGTCTGCTGGTCCGGCAGGGCCACTGTCTTGCCAAAGTCGATCATCCAGACCTTGGCCAGGCCAGTGTGGTCATGCACGAAGAGGAGGGAGCTGCCCACCACCTGCAGGCAGAGGAGGCACCATGGAAGACGCGCCCCTGGTCAGGAGCAGGGTGGACCCAACCGGGGCTGGACTTAAATGGCCTGCATTCAACCCTCTCCTGACTGTGTGGTCATGGGCAAGTCGCTTAACCTCTCTGTACCTCAGCACCCGACCTCTACAAGATGGAAAGCAAGGTTGCTGTGCCTTGGATGTGGGAATAATCCACAGAAAACACGCAGAACTGCTGCGGGGAGGCAGGAGAGGCAAGAGAAATTTAAACGTGACCACCACCACCCCCTTCTTTGCTTTTTTTTTTTCCCTTCTTGGGTCACACCTGGCAATGCACAGGGATTACTCCTGGCTCTGCACTCAGGAGTTACTCAGGGAACCATATGGGATGCTGGGAATTGAACTTGGGTCGGCCGCGTGCAAGGCAAACACCTTACCCGCTGTGCTATCACTCCAGCCCCCCCAATTTTTTTTTTTATTTTTGCTTTTTGGGTCACACCTGGCGATGCACAGAGGTTACTCCTGGCTCTGCACTCAGGAGTTACTCCTGGCGCTGCCCAGGGGACCATACGGGATGCTGGGAATCGAACCCAGGTCGGCCGCGTGCAAGGCAAACGCCCTACCCGCTGTGCTATCTCTCCAGCCCCTCTTCTTTGCTTTTAAAGGGGCATCAAGACACTTAGCAGTGCTTGGGGATCCCTGAGGTGCTGGGAATCAAACCTTGGCCTCCAGCGTGCTTACTTGATGTACAGCTGCAAACCTGTGCCTGCAGGGTCCCGAGTGGGTGGACCAGGAGATCGCCTGGGGCCTGGGAAGGGGCTCCCTATCATTCTCAGCTTCTTCTTCTGTACAACCGGAGTTGCGGAACAGCCCAGCCCCTGCACCAGGGCCTGAGAGTCACTTTCCCTGATCTCCCACAGAACTTCCTGGTGTGAGCCTCCATTAGCCTTCAGGAGACAGGAGACGCTGTGCCTCAGGTGCTTCTGGGGGCACTGCAGGACTGGAGCCAAATGTTCTGCCACTGAGCACACCCCTCTCCCAGTTTCTGGGTTTTGCTTTGTGGCCAAACCTGGGGTTGTTCAGGGATCATTCATTGCAGGCTCACGTGAACCTTATGTGGGGCCAGGAATCACATCAGGGTCAGCCACATGCAAGGCAAGTGCCTTCATCTCAGAACAATCTCTCCAACCCAAGTTCCTTATGTTTTGTTTTGGGGCCACGCACAACTGTGCTCAGGACTGACTCTTGACTTTGCACCCAGGAATCACTCCTGATGGTACTCGCTGGACCCTATGGGATGCTGGGAATCAACCCTAGTTGGCTACATGCAAGACAAGCATCCTGTTCACTGTCTTACCACCTCAGCCTTGTTTTGTTTATTAGAACAGGGCTGAGTAATGGCTCATTGAACTGAATGCACGCTTTGCATGCAAGAGGCCCAGGTTCAATCCTGGCACTACGTGGTCCCCTGAGCACCGCCCAACACAAGCACATTGAGAGGAACTTCCCATCAGCCAGCTCTGGGGCCAAGGGCCCCTCCCTGTTTGCAGAAGCATTTCATAGCATCAGTTCCCAAGAACATGGACGGCCAAGTCTGACGGAACAGCTGGCCACCACCCAGTCTGGATGGGCCTGCAGGGGGCCAGCCACCCTATGACACCCTGTGCTGTCAGGTATCAAGGGACACCAGAAATCCCAATCCAGGCTGTAGTGGCTGGTCCTTTGTTTTGTGGAGGGAGTTCACCAGGCTCTCTTGGGAGAGGGGAAGATAGGGCCTTCTCCACGGCCTGTACATGGGGCCCAAAGGCCACGAGGAGGGCAAGGGTGGGTGGATATCTGCCAGTGGCAGCTGTGCACAGATGGTTCATGGGCTTGACTACAGCTCTCACTCTGCTCTGGCTTCAGGCCTGTGAGACACTATCCAGTTTCTGTCCCCTCTAATAAGAAATAGGTCCAGCCCGGGGAGTTGGGGGTGCCCCATGTCCCAGCTCTGTGCTCTAGCCAGGCCAGGGATGATCTCAGGGGAAGCAGCCACAGAGGCCAGAAGTAGGAGGCAGAAGAGTGGGAGAGAGCACGGGGAGGAGAGGGTGCATGGGTAGACTCTCCAGAGACGGCCCGGAACAAGGAACATACCAAGAACACAAGGAGGGCTGGGAGAAGGCAGCACAGGCAGCTGTGATTGTGGCCGCGAGCTGGCTCAAAGGGCTGGATCACATGCTTTGCATGCATGAGCCCCAGGGTCCATCCCTCACACCACTGGGTGTGATCAAGCTGCTACCACCACCAGGGGAAAAAGAAATTGATCGTATAAGAGCATTGTCAGTGCCAAGAATCCAACGCCCTTCTGAGCTCCAAAGGCCACTCAGCTCAAACCCCAGCAGCTGCAGAAGGAAGGGACTTCGTTCCTTCCTGTGACCGGTGGGAACAGAGATCTTGAGGGCAGGGCGAGGGCCCAGGGTCACAGCAGAGCCAGCCTTCAGCTCAGACTGCTCGCCCTGCGCTACCCTGAATTCCTCTCTGCTCTTTCCCCCCAAAAAATGGTGCACCCAAGGACAGGAAGACGGCTCAAAGGCTTAGGGTGTGCTGGGCGCAAGCCCAGAGCACTGAATTAGGGGACCAGAGAGGATACAACTGGGACAGGGTACACCTTGCACAGAGCCAACCCAGGTGCAATACTTGACACCCTATATGGTCCCCCAAGCTCTGCCAGGAGTGACCCCTGAGCATTGCTGGGTGTGACCCAAAAACAAACTAAAAAAGCCTCAGCTCAGAGCATTGAGAAGTACCTCCTGGTGTGGATGGCCAACCAACAGAAAATAAGGAGCTAAAGAGACAGTGCAGCAGACAAGGCGTTAATTTGCCTTGCACGGTGCTAACCTGGGTTCGATCCCCAGAATCCTATATAATCCCCCTGAGTCCTGCTAGGAATGATCCTTGAGCACAGAGCCAGGACTAACTCCTGAGTACAACCAGGTATGGCTCCCCTGAAAAAGGAAGGAAAAAAAAAATAGGAGCCTAGGACAGAGATGTGGTACAGTCTCATATGTGAGAGGCCATGATTCCATCCTCAGCACCACAAGCTGCTCCAGCTCTCTCACTGGATCATACTTATACAGTAATAGAGACAAAAGTTTATATATATATATATATGTATATATATATATATATATATATATATATATATATGGGCTGGAGCGATAAAACAGCAGGTAGGGCATTTGCCTTGAACACAGCCGACCTGGGTTCAATTCCTCCATCCCTCTTGGAAAGACTGGCAAGCTACCAAGAGTATCCCGCCTGCACAGCAGAGCCAGGCAAGCTCCCCATGGCATATTCAAAATGCCAAAAACGGGCTGGAGCAATAGCACAGCAGGTAGGGCGTTTGCCTTGCATGCGGCTGACTCGGGTTCGATTCCCAGCATCCCATATGGTCCCCTGAGCACCGCCAGGGGTGATCCCTGAGTGCAGAGCCAGGACTAACCTCTGGGCATCGTCGGGTATGACCCAAAAAGCAAAAAAAAAAAAAAAACCAGCAAGTTTCACAATGGAGACGTTACTGGTGCCCACTCGAGCAAAACCAATGAACAACAGGAGGATAGTGCTACAGTGCTATGGCAAGAGAAATAGTACAGCAGGGAGGGCATTTGTTTTGTAAGTAGCCAACCCAGGTTCTATCTGTGGCATCCCATATAGTATCCCAAGCACCACCAGGAGAGATTCCTGAGTGTGGAGCCAGGAGTAATCCCTTAGCACCACTGGGTGTGAAACAAAAATAAATTAAAAAATGTGCTGAAACAATAGTAGAGCCGGGAGGGCATCTGCCTTGCACGTGGCCAAGCAGGATTTGATCTCCATATGGTCCCCCGAGCATCGCCAGGAGTAACCCCTGATCACCGCCAGGCGTGCCCCCCACCCTTTCTAGCTTGGCTGTAACAAGTTTCTTTGGGGGCCCCCACACCCCCTAGCCACATTGTCCCCCAGCCCAGCAGGGGTTCACACCTCGTGAGTCTTGAAGAAGGAGGAGCTCTCCAGAGTGTCTCGAAGCTCTTCCAGCCGTGCTACATACTTCCCCTGCATGAGAGGGAGGATTCCGGTTAGCCCAGGAGATGGGGGTCCCAACCCATCATGCAAGGTGACCATCCCGCATCTCCACAGACCCTGGCCAGGGATGAACAAGGGTGAACAGGAAGTGGGAGGCCTGCATAGGGCAGCGCAGGCAAGAGGGTGGCTGTTGGGACAGGAACCAGAGTACAGCCAGTAGGGTGCTTGCCTTGCACATGGCCAGCCCAAAATGGTTCCTAGAGTCCATCAGGAGTGATCCTGGAGTGCAGACCCAGGAATAAGACCTGAGCACCTCTAGGGGTGGGCCCCAAACAAGCAAACAAAAGCTAATTTTTTAAAAAATTTTGGGGGCTAGAACAATAGTCAGTAGGGGGGGCATCTGCGTAGTACACGGCCTATTCAGGTTTGAGCCCCAGCATCTCGTGGTTTCCCAAGCATGGCCAGGGGTAATTTCTGAGTGCAGAGCCAGGAATAAGCCCTAAGCACAATCAGGTGTTCCCCCCGCCCCAACAAAAGGGGGTCGGAGTGATAATTCAGCCTCACACGCTGCAGACCCGTTTGATCCCAGCATCCCATACGGTCTCCTGAGCAACTCTAGGAGTGATTTCTGAGTGCAGAGCCAGGGGTAACCCCTAAGCATTGCCGGGTGTAGCACAAAAAATAGAGGTTCATTACTAATGTTCAACTCATTTAGTCTTATAGCTATTCCACTCAGAATGTACTGCCTCTTCAAAGAATAAATTTCTTTTTAAAAAATGTAGTGAAATTCAGGAATACCAAGGATTCCTCATAGCCTCCCTTCAAGAGGTAAGTTTGCTCCTTTTTTCTTCCTAGACATCACTCCCAGCAGCACTCAGGGCCCATGCCAGGCTGGGGTGGAAGCAGGGTTGGCCGAATGCAGTGCAGATCCCACACACTCTGTCCAGTTCCAGATCTGTCTCTCTTTTTTTCTTTGTTCTGTTTGGGGGCGGACACCACATGTGTGAGTGCCGCACAGGGACTGGGTCCCAGGCTCCCCCCTACACAACTGATGCTACAGGCCTTCCAGCTGCGTTCTGGGGCAGTCTACTGCCCTTTGCATTACTCACTCACAGACCAGACTTTGGCCAACCAACTGGGGTAGATATGCTGGCAGCCCCTCCCAGCCTTGCTGCGCCTGGTTCTAGGGCCAGGAGGGAGGTTGGGGCAAGCTCGGGCTGGTCTGCACGCTGTGGGCTGGTGAGTGCCCAGCTGCCAAGTCCTGTGCCACGCCACGCCTGGCAGCAGCTCTAGGGGTAGGACCGAGCCCCGGAAGGCCAGAGATGTGAGCAACGGCTGCCAGTGCCTGCCAACCTGGACCCAGCAATCGGGGGTGCACTGCTGTTAAAATGGGGCGCATGGGTGACCCACTCACCAGGATGCTGACGTTGCCATCCACAAAGTCCTCCAGCACCTTTGTCACCTGCTCCAGCTCCTGTGTCTTCTTGAAGTTGGTGTTACAGGTCCCGTCGGCTTTCTGCAGCGTATGGGGGTCGTGTCACCAATGTCCTCCACACCCCAACCCCGCACAGTCCCAGGCACTTACTTACAGGGCCGGGCTCTCCACCCCACCTCCCGCAGGAAATCAGGCCCCAACTTCCCATCATGCTCCTTCCAGGCTACCAACGTGGGCCATCAACCAGTCAAGCCAGGTGGGCTTCAAGAGGGGTTGGGTGAACAGCTGGCTCTGAAGGGAAGCTCTGCTCCCTCCCAGCTGTGCATTCTTAGGTAGGTTATTGCTCAGCTCCTGCCTCAGTTTCCCTTTGGGAATGTGGGAACATGTTAGCCTCACCTTCCTAGAGGGGTGGGGTGGATAGGGCTAGCTGCTGGCGCTAACTGGTCAGGGGCCAGAAGGCGGTGTCCAGGCACCTGTCTGAGCTGGAACAGGGCTAGGGGGAGCTGCAAGGCCCGGGTTACAACCCTCAGACAGCATTTAGAAAACTGTGACGGCTAGAGAGAGTGGGTAGGGTGTTTGCCTTGCACATGGCCAACCTGGGTTTGATTGCCAGCATCCCATGTGACCACCCCCCCCATCTTCCCCGAGCACAACCAGGAGTGATCTCTAAGCACAGAACCGGGATTAACCCCTGAGCACCACCAGGTATGGCCAAAAAAACAAAAGAAGAAAAAAAATGGAGTGGAGAACGGCTAGGGAGGTGGCTGAAAGGGCTGGAGCACACGCGGGTTTGATCTACAAACACCGCCTGGTCCACCAGCCAAGAGTGATCCTGGAGCACCACAGGGGAGGAGGAAGAGAATGGAAAGGCTCAGACAACCCCTAGGTGGACAGACAAACCTGGTCACTCACTACTGGGGTAGGGGAGAGAACTGGCCCTACAGCTTCCTGCTCTCTCTCCAGATCTTGCTTCTTCCCAGTTGTTTTGATCCCCACATTCCCCCTCTGCCCAAGGAAAGTGGGGTGGGGGATGCGGTTCCCAGCCTCACCTTGATGCCCTCAATCCGGAAGCCCAGGGTGGAGGTGGAGCTCACAGTTTCCCTCCACTGCATGTAGCGAGGCTTAGTCACGGCGCCCTGCTCGTGCTCCTCGGCGGTGGGGGCTCCCGGGTCCACAGCCACCATCTTCTCATACATGTCCTTCCGAGGCCGTGGCCGTTCCCGCGCCTTCACCAGCTCCTCCTCCAGGTATGTCCTGGCACGAGAGGGACGTGGCAAAGGAGAGGATGAGAAAGGAAGCACATTCTAGGACATACACATGGATGGAAGAGCAGAGTGCCCAAATGCACACATGCACACCCACACCACATGTGTTCATGCATGCACACACATGCACACACCACACACATACACACACACATACACACACACACACACACACACACGCACGCACGTAGGCACAGGCCAACTCCCAAGGTAGGCCAAAGGTAAATGCTTCACTGCAGTCTATGGTTATGAAAAAAGAAAAATGCAAACCTCCATCCCTCTGAAACAGCACATATAAAGGCCCTTTCCAGGAGGGCTTACAGGTCTGCATGTGAAAACTAAAGAAAGTAAGCCTGGCCTGCAGGAGTGCCCAAGTAGTAGGAAGGGCATTTGCCTTGTACACAACCAACCTGGGTTCAATCCCCAGCATCTCTTATGGTCACTAGAGGACTGCCAAGAATGATTCCTGAGCACAGAGCCAGGAGTATATTCCAAGCATCGCTGGATGTGACCCAAAAACAAGAAAGAAAACAGTAAGAGAGAGAGATGGTTCAAAGGGCTGAGTATCTGCTTGGCATTCAGGAAACCCAGGATTGATTCCCCTGCACTACAAAGAATGACCACATGAGCACCAAGCCAAGAGTAGTGCCTGGGCACTGGTGGGTGTGTGCACTCCCCAAAACAAAAGGAATCTTTATAATCTTGAAGTTGCAAAAAAGAGTTATATTTTGTCTTTTATTACACCAGCAAAGCTAAGGGGTTACTTCTGGCTCTGTTCAGGGATCACTCCTGGCAGTGCTTGGGGGACCATATAGGGTGCCAGGGATCAAACCCAGGTCAGCAAGGCAAGCCCACAACCACTAAAGAATTGCTCTGGCCTTCAAAAATTTTTTTTCTTTTATTTTTTTGGGTCACACCCAGCGATTTACAGGGGTTTCTCCTGACTCTGTACTCAGGAATTATCCCTGGCGATGCTTGGGGGACCATATGGGACGCTGGGAATTGAACCCGGGTCGGCCAGATGCAAGGCAAATACCCTACCCGCTGTGCTATTGCTCCAGCCCCCAAAAATATTTCTTAAATATAAAACCACTGCCATTAATTAAAAGTAAAAAATAAATTGGACTAAAAATGCATGTTTGTTTGCCAAAAGAAAGTGAAATAAAAGAGTTGGAGAGGGGCTGGAACAATAGCACAGTGGGTAGGGTGTTTGCTTTGCACGTGGCCAACCCAGGTTTGATTCCCAGCATCCCATATGGTCCTCCAAGCACCGCCAGGAGTAATTCCTGAGTGCAGAGCCAGGGGTAACTCCTGTGCATTGCTGGGTGTGACCCAAAAAAAAACTTAAAAGAAAAAAAAGAGTTGGAGAGTGTGTGTCTGAGAGTGTCTCCACCAAGAATCCACACCAGATACTAAAAATTATAAATCAGGGCCCAGAGCGATAGTATAGCGGGAACGGCACTTGCCTTGCACGTTGCCAACCTAGGTTAGACGCCCAGCATCCCATATGGTCCCTAGAATCCCACCAGGAGTGATCCTGAGTACAGAGCCTGGAGTAATCCCTGAGCATCACAGGGTATGGAAAAATATATATATATGTGTGTGTGTATATATATGTGTGTGTATATATATAATTATGCATCAGGACTCGAAGGAACAGCTCAGGGTCTTAGACCACCTGCCTGGAAGCATATAGTGAGAGTTCAAACCCCAATGTCCAGTGCCCGAGAGACAGAAGAGAGGTTAAGGAGTTTACTTGGCACAGGCCAACCCACTACCAGGAATAATCTCTAAGCACAGAGTCAGGAATAAGCCCAAGTACTGCTAGTTGTGATGCACAGCTTCCCACCCTCTCCCCAAAAATTACAAATCAAAAATGCAGAGACATGGCCAAAGTGATAGTACAGCGGACAGGACATTTGCCTTCCAGATGGCCGACACTATTCAATCCCCAGCATGCCATATGATTCCCAAGCCTGCCAGGAGTGACTCTTGAGTGCAGAGCCAGGATGAAGCCCTGAGCACAGCTGGGTGTGCACGACCTTCCCCTACCCCCCCTACCCACCCTCCCAAAAAAAAGGGTAGAGGGGCCGGAGCAATAGTACAGCAGGCAAGGTGCTTGCCTTGCATGCTGTCAACCCGGTTGAATCTCTGGTATCCCATAGATTCCCCCGAGCACTGCCAGGTGTGTTCCCTGATTGCAGAGTCAAGAGTAACCTCTAAGCATCATCAGTGTGGCCCAAAAGCAAACATACATATATACACAGAAAGGGCAGAGGCAGGCCTGCAGAGATACTCCCATGGGATGAAGCACATCCCTTCCAGAGGGGAGGCCCTGGTTTGATCCTGGCACCCAATGCTCCCTGAGCACATCTGGGAGGACTTCCCCACAGCACTCTCCCCACAGCACTGCCACCAGTAGCCCCAAAAGAAAGGGAAAAGGTTTTCTTTTCTTTTTTTTTGCGCACCCAGCAATGCTCAGGGGTTACTCCTGGCTCTGCACACAGGAGTCACTCCTGGTGGTGCTCAGGGGACCATATGGGATGCCAGGGATAGAACCCCAGTCAGCAGTGTGCAGGGCAAACGCTCTAACCACTTTGCTATCGCTCCAGCCCCTCTTTTTTTCTTTTAAAGGAAGAGTCTTAATAAATGGGCCAAATAGTCTCAGCTGGCATGTTTCAAAGAGAATTTCCACGTGGTCAAACAGCATAGGAAAGCTGTTTGGTGTTTTGGTGCTCAAATAAACAAGTGAAAAACACATGGGATGGAGAGGGGCTGGAGCTCTAGTACAGGAGTTAAAGTGTTTGCTTTGCACACAGCTGACTAGGGTTTGATCCTTGGCACCCCATATGGTCCCCAAGTCCAGCCAGGAGTAATCCCTGAGCACTGCCAGGTGTGTCCCAAACAAGGAAACAACGCAAAGATACCCACTAGGATGGTGAAAACGAGCGGTGCCAAGTGTACAGAAGAACAGGGGCACTTGTCTGCAGTCAAGGGATCATCTTGCCCACAGGCCCTCTCCAGCCCGACCCTGGTGTCCAGGCCCACCTGCTGCCCATCTTGCAGTCCATGATACATGGGCCTTCGAAGTCGGCCAGGAGGTCCTCCATCTGGTTGAAGGCCTGGCCGTCACGCTGCACCACGCCATAGTAGGTGGGCACAAAGGGCCGCAGGGGGTCCTGCATCAGCTGCTCCAGGCTGCGCTGCTCACATTGACAGAAGCGCTTCAGGATCCGGCCGTCCTCGCCTGCCTGGAAGTTCCCTGCAGGCAGCAGAGAACAAGAGGGCAGAATCAGAGGTGGAGCAGGGGGCCAGGGGCTGGAGCCAGAGGACAGCGGGCAGGGCTTTTGCCTAAGTTTGATCCCCGGTCTTGAGGAACCCCTAAGCACAGAGCCTGGAGTAAGCCAAGAGCACTGCTGGGTGTGGCCCCCAAAAAGACACTGGGTGGGGCTGGAGCGAGAGTACAGCAGTTAAGGCGCTTGCCTTGCAAGCAGTAGACCCAGGTTCAATCCTTGGCATCCCGTAGGGTCCCCTGAGCACCACCAGGAGTGATCCCTGAATGCAGAGCCAGGAGTAACCCCTGAATATCACCAAATGTGGCAAAAAAAAAAAAAGTATGAGAAAGCTAATTCCCATTCATGAGAGACCTGTGTCTCAATTTCCATTTTACTGATTTTTTTTATGATTCAGGGTCCCCTAAGAGGTCCCTAGGGTCACTTCTGATGATGCTCACCCACCCAGCAGTGCTAGCACCCAAGGATTCAGAGCTGCTTGGGCCCTGGGTGACAGGGAAGACCAGGCTCTCCCCAACAGTGCTCAGGAGCCTTCCAGACAACCCCCTGTGGTGCTCCAGGGCAGAGTGGGCCCCATGGTGCCAGGGTGCACCCCTGGCTCCTCAAACATACACCCACATACACACTCCCCGCCACCATTTGATCTATTTCTGGTGGGGTTCAAGAGACCCTATGGAATGCCGGGGATGGAACCAAAGTGGGCCGTATGCAAGGCAAGTGCCTTGATCCTCCCTCTCCTGCAACCCATATTTATTTTGGTGAGCTGGAGGGTGGGGGTGACATTCCCAGTGTGCCAGGGATGGAAGTCAGGGCTTCCACAGCCAAAAGCACATGTTCTGGGGCCAGAGAGACACTCTAGGGGTGAAGGCGCTTTCCTTGCATGCAATGACCTGGGTTCCGTCTCTGGCACCCCAGGAGTGATCCCTGAGTGCAGGACCAGGAATAAGCCCTGAGCACAGCCAATAGTGGACAAAGAAACAACAGAAACACCCACGGCATGTGCTTGGCCTGGCGAGCTATTTGATTCTGTAGTCCTCAGGTTCCCTTGTCAGGGAGGTGGGGGATCTCCAGGTACAAAACAGGAAATGGAGTGGTGGAGCGATAGAACAGCAGATAGGGCATTTGCTTTGCATGAGGCTGACCTAGGTTCGATTCCCAGCATCTCGTATGGAACCTGAATCCCACCAGGAATTATCCCTGAGCACAGAACCAGGAACAAAAAAAAAAATTCAAAACCAGGGGCTGGAGCGATAGCACAGCAGGTAGGGCATTTGCCTTGCACGCGGCCAATCCAGGTTTGAATCCCAGCAACCCTTATGGTCCCCCGAGCACCGCCAGGAGTAATTCCTGAGTGCACAAGCCAGGAGTAACCCCTGAGCATTGCTGGATTGCTGGGTATGACTCAAAAAAAAAAAAAAAGGAAAAACAAAAATTCAAAACCAAATTAAAAAAAAAGAAATAAAACAAGAAAAGGAATAGGAAATTGAGATCCAGTAAAGAAAAATAACTTGCGCAGGGTCACCCACAAATAAAGGGCAAGAAGCAGGAGGAGGGGTATCATCCCCAGGACCAGACTGGGTTTCTCCTGGCCGGGGACTAGCAGGGACCGCCCCACCACCACCACTCCCCTTCGGGGATGGATTAATGGCCCAGCCCAGCCCCCAGCATGTCCCCTGACAGCCTCCACACGGCAGGGACCTTCCCCAGATGCATTTCATAGACCGGAAAACTAGCTCCAGGAAACAGTGGGACACCCAGCTCAGCCCAGGAGCCCCCCATGGCCAGGGCCCAGCTCTCACCAGCATGTCCCGACAGCTGGACCCACGGGTAGTGTTTCCGGAAGGATACCATGAAGGGTGAGTACTTTAGCACCGTCTTCAACTTCTTCCACGGCGTGTACTGTGGGGGGGGACAGAGCCGTGTCAGAGGGGAATGAACTGGGGACTCTCACGGTTGGTCTGTCCTATGCCCACTGGGGTGCTGGGGTGCAAAGCGCTTGCGAGACATCCCTCCACACACATTCCTCAAGTCTTGTCCATATCTATCTCCCTCCTTCTCAGGGGCTCGATAGTCAAGACAGGAGAGAGTTTGTTGAATGATCAGTGGCCCCAGATCTCCCCACCCACCGCCCAGACACGCCCCAAACCTGGAAGCATCACCCAAGTCAGACTTTGGGAATGTGTGTGGGGAAACTGAGGCAGGAGGGAATCACGGGAGGAGTGGGGGAGCTCAGCCTCAGAGAGTGGCAGAGGCCAGAGATAGCACAGTGGGGAGGTACACCGGCCTTGTACCTGGCTAACCTGGGTTCAATCCCCAGCATCCCAAATGTTCCCCTGAGCACCCCGGAGTGATCCCCAAGTTCAGAGCCAAAAGTAAACCTGAGCCCCCAGAACAAAACAAAAGAGCAGCAGAATCAGACCGAATCAGGGTAGGGACAAAGACAGAGCAAAGGACAGTCTGCGGCAGCCACAACTCTCTCTCCTCTCCCTGGGACCTTCCATCCTCCCAATGGAGGGGAGTGACGTGCTTTGGCCGTGGGAAGGGGGCTGCAGTGACCCTCAGGCAGAAGTCTGAAAGTCCACTCTCCCTCTTGGTGAAGGGGGACGGTAGAAAGAAAAAGGGGGCCGCCAGCGCCTAGAGCTGGGCACCCCCACGGCCCCATCAGCGCGAGGTCCAGAATGAGCCTTGGTTGCTCCAGTCACCTCAGGACAGGGCTGCATGTTACCCCAGCAACCCCAATTTACCATCACCAAGAGTCAGCGTTTGCTAGGGAAAGGAAAAGCCCCAGAAAGATGGGGAGATGCAGAGTTAACAGAAAGGAAACTACTGAAAGGGAAAGAAAGTCGAGGGAGAGTAATGGGACAGGGCAAAGAGGAAAGGGAGAGAAAGCAAACACAAGACAAGGATTTTTTTTTTTGCTTTTTGGGTCACACCCGGCGATGCTCAGGGGTTACTCCTGGCTCATGCACTCAGGAATTGCTCCTGGCGGTGCTCGGGGGACCATATGGGATGCTGGGAATCGAACCTGTGTCGGCCATGTTGGCTGCGTGCAAGGCAAACGCCCTACCCGCTGTGCTATCGCTCCAGCCCCAAGACAAGGATTTTGTTGTCTCTGATATTTTTTGTTTGATTTGGGGGCCATACCTGGCAGTACCCAGGGGTTACTCCTGACTCAGTACTCAGGGGGTGCCGGGGGACCCTATAGAGTACAGGGATCACTCCTGGCCATATGGGATGCCAGGGATTGAACCTGGGTTGGCGTATGCAAGGCCAGCATCTTCCCCGCTGAACTATTACTTGGGCCCCATGTTGTTTTTTTTGTTTGTGGTTTTTTAAACACTTCAGTGCCACACCTGGCAGTGCTCTGAGATAACTCCCAGTTCAGGAGTCACTCAGAGGTAACTCCCAGCTCAGTGCTCAGGAGTCACTCACCTCCCACTGGTGCAGGGGATGGACCCCGGGTCTCCCGCATGAGAAACCTGCACTCAGCCCTTTGAGCTATCTCCCGACTCTCATTCTTGGGGAGTCCAGGTTACTCTCTGCTACACACCTGAGGACTCTTCTTCCCCAAACAAGCCCTGGGCGAATGGGTCACCCCCTAATAAGGAAGCTGGGGAGAGATCCTCCCCACCCCCACCACACCCCCTAGGTCAGGGCCACAGTCACAGCCCAGCTCCTGAGCAGAGAGTGGGCAGGTCACCCAGATTCGGGGTGAGGCTGGGATCAGGAAGGTTCTTCCCTCCCCCTTCCAGTCGCCAGCTCTGGGGAGAGATGATTAATAAAGGTTCCTGTTTACTAAGCACCTGGAACATTCCAGGCACCGTGACAAAGACTCGGTGTGCCATAAACTACCTCATCCTCAGAACACAATCCCCAGAGGGAGCGTTCTCTGTGGCCGTGGAGGAAACAGAGGCGCAGAGGGGTGAAGTCACTTGCTTAAATCACACAGCACCTTGTTGGTGGGGGGAGGGGACCGCTGCTGAGCCCCTCCCTGGGCTCAGTGCCTGGAGCCCTGTAAGCAGGACACAAGCTCACAAGGGCAGAGACAGGGCAGTCACAGTCCCTGGTGTCTCCATGTGATAGGGCCTCCAAAACTGTTTGGATGAACGGAGGTCTAGGAAAACGTTCCTTCTTTCCCCCCCCCATTAGCAGAATCTGAACCTTCTCTTCTCTTCAATCAGATGGTTGACCTGAGCTAATTCAGAGGGTTTCATGGTAGGGGCCAGAGCAATGGATCATACAGTGGGAAGGGCATTTGCCTTGCATGTGGCCAACCCACATTCGATTTCCAGCACCCCACATGGTCTCCTGAGCCCTCCAGGAGTGATCCCTGAGCAGAGCCAGGAATAAGCCCTGAACACCCTTTTTAAGGAGGGGCGGTGGGCACGGGAGTGACCCCCCCCAAACAGTTTCATGATAGTCAACACACATGTCCACTCTTCCAGGAAGCCCTCTAGGATACCCCACATATGGCCAGTCAACTCCTCTAGCCTCCCCCACCCAGGCTGCCCCCACCACTCTGGCCTCCTGCTGCCTGCTGACCCATGTGATGCAGCCACTGATCCTAGGAGCTGCCTGAGGGCAGTGGCTCAGAGCCAGCCCAGCAAAGCCAACAGAGGACCAGACAAAACCATGAAAGAGGCTGGCGGGGAGGAGGAGGGAGGCCCTGAGCCCACACAGCCCCAGCTGAAGTGAGAAGGGGTCTCAGACGCACAGCCAGAAGGACAGCAGGAGAACAGCTCAAGCGGCCAGTGGGGGAGCAGATGGCAGCAGGGTGCTGGGGAACTGTGTGTCATGTGGCCTGGAGGGTCGGAGGGACTACAAGAAGCTGGACGCAGCCAGGAGCCAAGCCAGCAGACAAAAGCTGGGAACACGAGAATTGAACTCCCCACTCCCGATCACTCTCGGCAGGGTCTCCGGAGCCGCGGGAGACTCAGGAGAAGTGTAGACTCAGGGCCAGGAGGGAGGTGGAAAAATGACACACGAGGAGGGCGGGGAGGAAACAACAGGCCTCAGTGGCCAGGGACAGACACTCAGCACAGGCTTGTGACACTGATCAAGTGTTATTAAAAAAAAAAAAAAAGAACGACCAAGGTTTGTTTGCATTTGGGGAAGTTTGGGTCACGCCCAGTGGTTCTCACCACTAGCTCTGTGCTTGCTCTGCACACAGTGCTCAGGGGATCATGTGGTGCTGGGGATTAGGTTTCTGCCTACAACTCACGTGTCCAGCCCTCTGAGCCATCTCCCTGCCCTGTTTTTAAATTCAGCTAGAACTTGGGCTGGAGCAATAGCACAACAGGGAGGGTGTTTGCCTTGTACGTGGCCAACCCGAGTTCAATTCCCAGCATCCCATATGGTCCCCGAGCACCGGCAGGAGTAATTCCTGAGTGCAGAGCCAGGAGTAAACCCTGAGCATCGCCGGGTGTGATCCAAAAAGAAAAAAAAAAAACTACAGCTAGAATGGAGTTCGAATCCTGGCCCCAGGGCTAGAGAGATAATACAGGGTTAAGGCACTTGCTTTAAAGGCAGCCTAGCCTTGACTATATATAGGCACCCCCCTAGCACCCCCAGGAGTGATCCCTGAGCACAGAGTCAGGAGTAAGTCCTGAGTACCGGGTAGGAACGGAATCCACCAGATTTGGCCAACCCTAAAGAAATTACCTCCTCTCATCTCTACCCCAGTCTCCTCACCCGCAAAAGGAGTTCGGAATAGCCCCAAGGTCGCAGCGTGAGAACAGACAGCACAGGGGTTGGCCCAGACAGAACACCCAGCAGTGCCTCTGGGCACCTGGCAGGGCTGAGATCCCAGTTCTGTGACGTTGGACACGTACCTGCATTCCTCTGTGCCTCAGTTTCCTCATCTAGAACAGGATGCTCTCAAGATCATTGTGTGAGGACGAAACAAGTTAATGTGGACAAGAAACCACTCAGCGGGAACCAAAGTGACAGCACAGGAAAAGGGTGCTTGCCTTGCACGCAGCCGACCCTGGTTCCATCCCTGGCATCCCATACTGTTGGGGGCTGAGGTTTAAGATAGAAAAGAGGAGGATGGAGGCTTAGGGGGTCTTTTAATCAGAATGCTGAGCCATGCCAAAGAAAGGGTTCTCTCTCTGCTCTTACTCCCAGAAGAATATCTCCTTTGGGAAAGTCCATTACAGGGGCCAGAGTAATAGTATAGCAGGGAGGGCAATTGACTTGTACACGGTCAACCCGGGGGTTGATCCCCAGCATCCCATAAGGTCCCCCAAGCACCTCCAGGAGGGAATTCCTGACACAGAGTCAGGAGGAAGCTGTGAGCACTGCTGGGTGTGGTATTTAAAAAAAGGCCCATTACCAAGATACCTGCCCTGATATACTGAGGCCCTTAGATGCCTGGAAAGATTAAGATTAAGATAGGCCTTTGACAAAAAAAAAAAAAAAATGTTGTTCTTTTACTTCTGATGATTCCTGGTTCTAAGCAAAAAATACAGTAGTGAAGGACAATTAAGGCTGGAAGCCTCCGACACCAGGCCTATTTCTATCTCTTTTTGGTTTTTTGGGTCACACCTGGTTACTCAGAACTTACTCCTAGCTCTGTGCTCAAAGATCACTCCTGGTGGGCTGGGGAGGAAACGATATGCCAGGGATCAAACCCGGGTCTGCATATTCAAGGCAAATGCCCTTCCTGCTGTACTGTCTGTCCAGCCCCATCAGTCTCTTTTCTTACTCCTTCACAGCATCTCTGCCTCAGCTCTGGTTCCCTAGGGCTGGTCCCTGGCACTGCTGGCCCCCTGGGCCCTCCAGGAATGATCCCTGAGCACAGAGTCTGGATTAAGCACCTCAGGGTGTGGCCCAAACACACCATCTCCCCCCAAAAGTAGCTTAGCACAGGGCAGGGATCGAGGCTCTACACGTCTGACTGGTAAGTCCCTGGGTATAATCCCTGACACCACAGGGTCCCTCATACCACCAGGTATTGACCTGGTAACTGACCCGTCCCACCCTGAACAAAACAATAAGGCTTTGGGAGAGCTGGCTCAAAGGGCTGAGCACAGCATTTGCATGAGGGAGACCCAAGTTCCACCCCCAGGCACCACAGGGTCCCTGGAGCATGACCGAGATGACCCCTGGACCTCCCTACACTGCTGGCAGGGGCCAGAAAAGAAAAGGCTTTTCATAGGGCTAGACATAAGTGCTATTATTACTTATTATTACTTAGCAGCTACTATTACTAGTAGTAATCAAAGTACTATCATTCTTTTCTTTACTGGGCATGGGGGCGATGCTTGGTAGTGCTCAGGGCTGACTCCTGGCTCTGCGCTTAGGAATCACTCCTGGTGGGGCTCATTCGTAGTGGTGGGGTCTGCCGCAAGCAAGGCCAGCACTATCACTCCCGATCTAGGACTGTCTGTTGTCAGTTTGTTTGTTTTGGGGGGCCACACCCAGCAGTGCTCGGCGCTTACTCCTGGCGGGGTTCAGGGAGCCATATGGGTCGCTGAGGATCAAACCCAGGTAGACTGAGTGCAAGGCAAGCGCCCTTCCCACTGTACTGTCCCTCTGGCCCTGAGTTGTTTAGCAACTCCAAGGTGAAAGGGCAGAGGGAAGAGCCAGCCCCCTCCCGGCCCCCACCCAGGCAGAACCCCCCCCCCCCAGCAGGGTAGGGGGAATGGTTGAGAAGAAAATCCAGACAAGTCCTATCCCCCCTGTGGCAAGGAGTGTGAATACTGCTGGGAGGTTGGGGGGTGATGGGGGTTCAGGACAGATTCCACTGGGGCCCCAGAACAATGGGAGCCCCAGAGGGTGGCCCCACAGTGAGTCCCATACCTGCCTGTGTGAAACTCTGACCTGCCTCCCTGAACATGCCAGGCCAGGCCTCCTGATTCACCAGGCAGGGCCGCACCCCAGCGGAGGAGATGGTGGAGGATATAAACAAGATTCCAGGGATCTCCCCCCCACACACACACAAAGGCCCTGGCTAGGCTGGGGCGCCCTAAGCATCTTGGCTTCACAGGGCTCTTTGATAATAATGATGAACACTATGTTTGGGGGAGTGAGGGGTTGGCGTCACTCCCAGTGGTGCTTAGAGCTTACTCCTGGCTCTGTGCTCACGGTTCACTCCTAGCAGGTTCAAGGACAATATGGGATGCCGGGGATCAAAACTGGGTCGGCCACATACAAGGCAAACGCCCTACACACCCTACTACGGCTCTGGCCCCTGATGAACACTTTTTACTGGAGGTTCTACAGGAAGTTGAGGGCTGGGCATGGATCAATACTCCACATGGAAAATAAAGATAGAAACCTCCCTCTTCCCCGCCCCCCTTTGTGTCTTATCAATGAGCTTTCAATCTGGGGGCTCAAAACTCTCCAGAGCGGGCCTCTGAGATAGCACAGAGGTTAGGGTGCTTACCTTACATGCAGCTGACACTGGTTTGATCCCTAGCAATGCACAGAGTTCCCTGGAGTAGTGCTAGGAGTCAACTCCAAGCCAGGTATGACCCCAAAACAATAAACAATTAAGAAAATATATCTCCAGAGGATCCCACCCAGTCTTGGGGCAAAGTTCAGTATAGACTAACAATTTCAGGGTCGGAGACAGTAGAGCAGGGAGGGCACTTGCCTTGCACACAGGGGACCTGTGTTCGAGCCTCCAGGAAGGGTTAGCGCAAGGCTGGGACTAAGCCCTATAATCCTATAACCATGTCCCCTGGCCGACCCCCCCCCAAAAAAACAGACACAAATTTGGGGATTCCTGGTGACCTGCACAAGTCAGCGTCTGTCATATGAGACCTTGGGTCTGGGGACAGCGGGTGTGGGGGGAAGAGAATTAGGAGGAGGTGATGGTCAGCAGTCAGAAGGAGGAGGCTGCAGGTGGAACTGAGGTGGGAACTAAGAGACCTTCTGAGAGCAAAGGCAGGGGGAGGATGGGGTTGGGGGGTGTGGCGCAGGAGGCAGAAGAGGTCCCACTCACCCCAGACCTGTCCTCGGGGTCGCTGGTACCTCCACCCCCGGCCACCACGTCATCCTCAGATTCGTCGAAAGAGGATGCAGAGGAGAAGCCCCCGCTGCGCCCATCCACCCGAGAAGAGGGTCCCGTGGGCTGGGCGTCAGGCTCGGGGGTTTCCGGAGTGATGACAAGGCAGGGCACGGGGGTCAGGGAGATGCCATCCAGGTGTGGGCACAGGTGAGTCACCGTCACCCCGGGTGTTGGTTCCCTTAACGAGGAGCCGCCGCCGTGGTCGTGGTCGGACTGGCCCAGCAGGCAGTGTGGGCCAGGCTCTGTCTGGAGTGAGGAAGGGTCCTGCGTTGAGGGCTCCTCAACGGCCAGCTGTGGGCAGGGGGAGGCGTCTGTGTCCTGTGTTGGGCTGGCAGCATCTGGGACAAGCTGTCTGCAGACAGTCTCTGCGTCCTGGGGAGTCCGGGGGGCATCAGTGTGCGGCTCTATCCGGGGGCCTTCAGTCGCCTGCGGCGTCCTGGGGCCATCAGCGAAATAAACCTCTTTGCAGGTGCTCTCCTTGGCGGACACTCCCTCTAGCTGGGGGAGGCTGGGGCTGTCCTGGGGGGTCGAGAGGTCCTCAGTCAAGGACGTGGGCCCCTCGGATTGGGTCTGAGACCCAGGGCTACATTCTAGCCCCGTGCAGGGCTCATCCACGATGGGCTGTGTCCGGAGGCTGGTCCTCTCGGCTGGAGAACGCAGATCCGACGTGCGTGAGTCCGTGCAAAAGGCGTCTGTGCCCGGCTCTGTCCGAGCACCGGCTGACTCCAGCTCCGGGCAGCGGCCGGGCTCGTCCGGCTCGGGCTCGGGCTCGGTCTCCAGGCTGGGCCGCTCCGTCTCCGCGCAGGGGCCAGCTGCTTCGGGCTCAGCCTGGTCATCGGACCCCGGTTCCGGCCCGAGGTCGGCCTTCTGGAGCTCGGGGTGAAGGCAGGACTCGTCGCTCCCGGCCCAGGGCCCGCCCCCCTCCGGCCGCCCGGCCGGGCCCCCGGCGCCGGGCCCAGGTCGCTGCTGGCCGGGCTGCCGCCGCCGCCCCCCTCGCGGAGCCTCCAGCCCCATGCGGGCCGCCTCCGGCAGCTCCCCGGCCTCCGCCTCGCTCAGGCTCCCCCGGCACGGGCAGCGCCTCATGCCCGCTCCCCTCGCTCCCTTCCACCCGACCCAACCCCCCTCCTGCCCCTTTAAATCCCGCGAGGGGTGTGGCTGGGGAGCCCCGATTCGCGGGTTCCGGCCGAGGTCCGGCCTGGTCATGAAGGGGTTAACCGATACTCCCGCCCCCCGCAGGGAAAGCCCAGAAACCCCGCCCCGCAGGACGTGACGCAGAGGGGCGTGCCTGGAGGGATGGGCCCGCTGTGGCCCCGCCCCTGCTCTGTGGCGGGCGTGGGCCCCCAGCGCCCGCTGCTGGTGCAGCTTGGCTCTGCGGCGCGCGCTGGTGTCGGGATCGCGAGTGAGTGAGCGCCCCCAAACGACCCCCGCGACTAACCCAACCTCTTTAGGCCCTTCTGTGACTAATTCAGCCGCCCCGTCATCTTCGATGACGTGTTCAGCAGCCGGGACGGACTTTCAGAAAGTCTGGAGTCACAAGGATAGGCTCTCTAGATTCTTTTGGTTTGGTTTTGGGGACCACATCCGGCGGTGCTCAGGATTGACGCCTGGCTCTGAGCTCAAGAATTACTCCTGGCAATGCTCCGGAGACCCATAGTGGGTGCCGAAAATCGAGCCCGGTCGCTCCCCTACAAGGCGAGCACCCTGCCCGCTGTACTATCGCCCAGGCCTCGGATTCTAGATTCCTCTCAGTCACTTCTGATAGAAACTATCCCTCCTGCTCCTGCCCGTTTTTTCTCAATGTAAAGCAAGGGCACATAGTATTAGGCCAGAGACATAGCTCAGTGGGCTGACAGTGTGCTTTGCATGCATGAGGCCAGTGCGTGATCACCAGTGTGGCCTAGTCCCCTAAACAGTCCTGGAACAACCTCCAATCAGAGAGGTGCAGTGACGCCCACATGGTATTATTTTATTTTGAGAAGTGTATGCCCTTTATCACAAGAGTCAAGCATTTTTATCAACAGGGAAATGGAGGTCCAGGGCTGGGGAGAATTTGTCTACTGTCGGGATCAATGGTAGACCACTACAATGGATAGTAGAGCCTGAAAGGTACTTGCTTTGCAAGTGGCCAACCCAGGTTCAACCCTGGGTACCACATATCACCCTCCAAGCACTGCAAGGAGTGATCCCTGAGCACAGCTGGGGGTGGCCGCAACCCCCCTCAAATAAAGAAAATAATCAAATCCTGGAGCTGGAGAGATGGTACCAAGAGAAAGGTGTTTGCCTTGCACACAGTTGACTCAGTTTCAATCCCCAGCACCCCAAGTGATTCCTCAACTATATGAGCACAAGAGGATCCCAGGGAAATAACTCGGTGACTTGTAAGTATAAGGTCCTGAGTCGAGAGCTTTCCATGCACTGAGGTGCTTTTATACCTGGCAGCTGTGGTCTGTGGCCCCCCCAGCAATTACTTCTTATGATTTGAGGGTCACACCCAGTAGAGTTCAGAACATGCAGCTCAGTGGTGCTGGGAGACCAGGATCAGTGTCATAAAAAGCAGGTGCCTTAGGACCAGAGCAGTGGCACAGAGGGTAGGACACTTGCTGAGCACAAGGTCAATGCAGGTTCAATCCCCAGCATCCCATATCGTTCCCCGAGCCCACCAGGAATGATTTCTGAGTGCAGGGCCAGGAGTAATTCCAGAGCACTGCCGGGTGTGCCCAAAACAAAATAAAAAAAGGATGTGTTCCAGCCCTTTGAGTTATCTCCCCAGCCTAGCCTACTTGTTCTGTACCAGGCCCTTTGCCAAGAGCTTTACAAACATGATTTCATTGCCTTGCTCTGTCACTAACAGCGTGCCAGAGGGGATACCACAGATTTTTTTTTCAACTTGTTTTTTGTTTTTAGAGCCACACCTAGCACTGTTCCAGGACTACTTCCACTCACTGCTCCAGGAGCACTCCTGATAGTGCTCAGGTGATTATATGGCACCAAGGTTTGACCTGTGCAGAGCAGGCATTTAAACTCCTTGAAATCTCTTTCCAGCCCACCGCAGATCCATGTCTGCTGATGGGGATATTGAGACTCTGAAGTCCGCCAGCATCTAGCCCCCCCCTTTTTTTTTTTGGCTTTTTGGGTCACAACTGGTTATGCTCAAGGGTTACTTCTGACTCTGCACTCAGGAATTACTCCTGCCAGTACTCAGGGAACCATTTGGAATGCCGGGGATCAAACCTGCGTTGGCCACACACAAGACAAACACCCTATCTGCTAGACTATCACTCTGGCCCCTGGCCGTTTTTTCTTTTTGGTTTTTTTTTTGGGGGGGGTGCACACCTGTACTCAGAGCTTATGCCTGGCTCTGTGCTCAGGGATCACTCTTAAGTAGTGATCAGGGGACCATATGCAGTTCCACAGATTAAACCGTGTTGGCTGCATGCAAGGCAAGCATTATCTCTGCATTATCTCTTCGGCTCTTGTTTTCTCACATATGTGACCTCATGTATGTGACGCACACCAGCCCCAGCCCTGGTAGGGTTAGTGTCATTGCTGCTCTTTATATATTTTGCCCCCCAGGGTGAGCTGCTATCAGCTCCTGAGTCAGATCTTGATGTCTGAAGAGCAATGAGGGGAGTTTCTGTCTTGAAATTGAGTCACCTGGAGAGAGGTATTGGGCAGACGTCCAGGATCTAGAATGAATCACCCTTTGCAGGGTACCGAGAAGCACTAGGTGGGGGCTCTGGCTGGGAAGCAGAGGTCCAGAGAGGGTCACGGCTCCTCTGAGATCACAGAGCACTGGGACAGACCAGGAGGCTGATTCCAGGCCAAAACAGGGTTAGACTGGGGCAGGGGTTTTCTGCGGAAGAAGCTTCACATCCATTCCTGGTCCCTCCCTGCTGTGGGGGAGATGCCCCAGCCAGCTGCTTCTATTCCAGACTGTGAGAAGAGGGGTGAGTCAGCCTGTTGGGGTGGGGGAGGCTTAAAGCCTGCTCCTTCTTCTCCTCCCCCCCTCCCCATCCCTACACCCAGATGGGCCAGGAGCTGGTTTTCTGAGATGCCAAGTTTCCTGACTCAGCACAGGGAATCTTGGCTGAATGTGTTCTGGAAAATGTCAGGCCTGCAGGAAACAAGGGCTCTGCTCACACCCTCCCACGGCTGGTGGGGATCGGAGAGAACAGCAAGTAGGGTCTGGGAGGAGCACCCCAGCCCCAGGGTGCCAGGGGCTGGGTGTGAGGCGGTTTATAGATAGGGAGACAGTTGGCAAGCGAGGTAGGGGGTTCTCTGGGCTAGGGAAGAAGTGGGGTGCCAGGATGTGGGTGTTCGGAGCAGCGGGCGCTTGCAAGGTGGAGGGGCGTGGTATGCAAGGGAAATGTATTCTGCAAAGACGCGTTGTTTCAAGGAGAGACGGTGAGCCTGCTGGGAGTGAAAATGAAGAGGAGAGGGGCCTGAGCCATAGTACAGAGGGGAAGGTGATTGACGTGCACGTAGCCGACCCGGCTTCCACCTCTGGCATCCCACGGGGTTCCCTGAGTACCGCCAGGAGAGTGCAGAGCCAGGAGAAACCTCTGTGCATCCCTGGGTGTGGCCCCAAAACAAAACAAACAAGTGAAGAGCAGGGAAGTTTGGCGAGATGCTCACGCACGGGAGAGTTCACGGGAGGGATGCCTGCTAAAAACGACGGTGCAGGGAACAGAAAGGGCAGCCGCCGAGTGCAGGAGCACTCGAGGTGAGGGAAGGGCAAAAGAGGGCACGTGTGCGCCCCCGCCCCGCCCCCGAGCTCGCGTCCAAGCCCCGCCCCTCTCCCCGCCTCCTCACGCACGGCGGGACGTGCTCCGCGCCCGTCAGCTAGCCTCTGCCACGCCATTGGCTAGCCTACCGGAGGGGGCGGGCTCGGGGAGATTCCCGGAAGTGCCGGGGCCCCCACGCGCAGCGGACCCGGAGCCTACGAGCCGTGGGTGCTTAGCAACGGGGGGAGGGACTCAGTCACGGGTGGGAGGGGGTGACACGGGAGGAACGTGGCTGCCTAGCAACCGAGAGGAAGGCGGTGCCTAGCAATGGGGTCCGCGCGGGCGGGGGGGGTCCGCGAGGTGGAGAGGTAACCCTGGAGGAGCTGTGGGTGTCTAGCAACGGAGGAGGACCCTAGCAACGGCGGGAAGTGGGTCGGGGAGGGGGGGAGAGTGGGTTGCAGGAGGGCTCCTAGCAACGAGAAAGCGAGGGGGGGCGCTAATGGCAGGGGACGAAGTCTTGGGGAGGGGCGTTTTAGGATGGACCCTGAAGGAACTTGAGTGCCTGGCAAAGGGGATGAGGGGAGAGCGCTGCCACATGTCCCGCAACTTCTCCCCAACACCCCTCTTCTTCTCTCTCAGGTCATGTGGCTGGAGGTGGGGGGTCTGCTGCGGGGCACCAGTGGACAGCTGGGCCGGACTGTTGTTCTGCCTTGGGGAACCCTGGGACCCCGGCCCCAACTGAGGGTAAGACGCTAGGGAGGGGCCAAGGAGGGGCCCTGAAGGTTCAGAACACTCCTGACCAATGTCTCCCTTTCTTGCAGGGACCATGTGGGAGTTCCTGGGTCCACAGGGTTCATCAGGATAGGCCTAGCCGAGGCCTGGGTGAGGAGGACATTCGTAGGGCTCGGGAAGCCCGGATCACAAAGACACCCCGACCCCAGGTATCATTGTTCTGTCCCCCCCATGCCCTGTGAAGACCCCCTAGGCTCAGGTAGGGTGTCACATGGTGGGGATGGGGGGGTGGAATTGGAGTCCCTGGGTGCTTTGCCCATTTTCCCCGCCTTAAAAGCTTTCTCCCTGCTTCCCAGCTGAGTGACCGCTCTCGAGAACGCAAGGTGCCCTCATCCCGTGTCAGCCGCTTGGCCAACTTCGGGGGTAGGTGTGGCTGTGAGAGATCTTGACCTACATTGGAGGAAGTGACACATCCAGAGTGAAGCAAGGGAGGGGAGAATCAGAGACAGGACAGAAAGATGCAGAGAGGGCCAAGGCCCAGGCCTGCAGCCCAAAGAGGAACAGAGAAGAACAGAACATTAGGAACTTGGAATGTGGGCTGGGGAGGTTAAGGTTCTGGCCCTACAAAAAAAAACAGAAAAAGAACTTGAGGGGCTGGAGCAAGAGTCCAGCAGATACAGCACTTGCCTTGCGGACAGCCTACCCAGGTTTAATCCCCCATGCTACACAGTCCACCGAGCCCCACCAGGAGTGACCCCTGGAGTAAGTGAGCCGGAAATAAGCCCTAAGCACTGCTGGGTGTGGTCCCCAAAGAGTCAAAAACTAGGCTGGAGAGAAAGCACAGAGGTCACAGTACAGGCCTGCAGCTAACTCCAGTTTGATTCCCACACTGCTTATGGTCCTGAGCCCTGCCAGGAGTGATCCCTGAGCACAGGGCCAGGAGTTAGCCCCTGAGCCCGTCAGACTTGTCCTTGAAATAAAACTCTAGTAGTTTCCAGTCCTTTTCTCAGGCCAGTGTAAGTGGAACCTTTGGGGTGGGGCCTCCCCAGAATCTAGTGAGGGGCTGAGTCTTAGAGGGACGGAGAAAGAGGAAGCCTCACCTGGACGGGAACCTCAAGAACAGACAGCCTGAGATAGAGGGGTAGAGCTATAGGTCTGGGTTGGGAGTCTGAGCAAGGAGAGGGCAGGGGAGAGGCCTGGGGTAGCTGCAGCTTTGGGAATCAGGTGTCTCTCCCGCCCTCCAGGACTGGCCATGGGCCTGGGCCTGGGAGCACTGGCCGAGCTGGCCAAGAAGTCGCTGCCAGGAGGAACTGCGAAACCAGGTGAGTCAGCCACCCTGCGGGCATGGAGGGAGCATGGCTTCACCGCATCCTTGGTCCCCCTCTCAGTTTCTGGGGGTGGGGTGGAGATGATCCATGACGAGCCTCTTAGGGACACTGGGAGGTGGTCAGAACAGGGCCGAGGAACCCAGGGACTTCACACAAGACACCTGGGTTCGATCCCCTGTACCGCCAAGAGAAAAGTGAACGAAGGGCTGGAGCAATTGTACAGCGCAAAGGACTCTTCTTGCCTTGTATGAGGCTGATCCAGGTTCCATCCCCACCACTCCATATAATCCCCCAAGCACTGCTGGGGGAACTGCTGAGCGCGGAGCCAGAAGTAAGCCCTGAGCATCCCTGGTGAACAAAACAAAAGAAAAATCAAAAGGTGAACTGGGGTCATCCACATGCAAGGCCAATCCTGTACCCCTGTACTCTCTTACCCCAGTAACTCGGGGGATGTCTTCCATTCTCGCTTCCCCTGCCTTTGTGGTAGCAACTGGAGGTCACTCACATGTGGCAGCGGCTGCACTTACATGGTCACCTCAGCTACCGAGCTCACCGGGGCTTGAAGACTTAGTGGTGGTGCTGGCGCACATTCTGGGGGTGGTACCCTCTGGAGTCACAGTGGCACTCACACACGTGCATCCGGGGCCTCGCCTCTCAGCCACAGTGCCCATAGGCAGTGCTCGCACACACCCTGCTGTCTTCAGACATCTCACCCTCGATTGTGGGGTTGACCCAGACACCAGTGTTGCTGGGTCTGTGCTGGCTGCATGTGGCAGAAACAAGGGGAAAGGGATCAAACTCAAGGCATAGGGCTTACACAGCAGACAATTTAAAAAAATAAATTTTTTTTTTCTGGATAACACTTAAAAATACCCAGAAGTTACTCCTAACTCTGCACTCAGGAATTACTCCTGGCTGTGCTCAGGGGACTTTATGGAATGCCGGGGATCGAACCTAGGCCGTCCATGTGCAAGGCAGACAGGCTACCTGCTGTACTATCGCTCTGGCCCCTCAAAGCAGATGATTTAGACACTGAACCACTCCCTGGGTAGCTCCTTAATAGTTTTTTGTTTGTTTGTTTTTGTTTTGGGAGCTGCCCTCGACTGTGCTCAGGGCTTATTCCTGGCTCTGTGCTTGGGGGTCACTTCTGGCGGGGCTCGGGGGGGCGGCATATGGGATGCCACCGATTAAACCTGGATTGGCTGCATGCAAGGCAGGTGCCCCTCTGGCCCCTGGATTTATTTTATTTTTTTCTTTCTGGGTCAAACCCAGAGATGCTCAGGGGTTACTCCTCCTGTCTCTGCACTGAGGAATTATTCCTAGTGGTACTCAGGGGACCATATGGGATGCCAAAGATCGAACCCAGGTTGGCCGCAGGAAAGGCAAATTCCCTACCTGCCGTTCTATCACTCTGGTCTCTGCCCCCTAGATTTTTAAATAAAATCAATAAGCACTTTATTAAATAGTCATTTCACTTGCACCCTGACCAAGTGCATACCCAGATGTACGGCTTGGTTCACTTTTACCAAGTGGACACGTGTGTGTGCTTGGAGGGAGGACCCTAGGACCGCAGTTCTTCAGCTCTGATCACAGGGTCCCAGCATGCCCTGAAAGCGAGGGACAGATCTGCAGAATCCATCCATCCAGGCAGGGTGTGGCATTTAGCAGGAAAAAGGGACTGACTGATCTGGGGGTCTTGATCTCTGGATGGGTGAGCACCTGAGCAGCAGTACGTGCTTTGCATATGGGAGGACTGAGTTAGATCCTTAGCATTGTGGGGGCCCCAGGCACCACCAGGAGTGACTCTGAGCTGGGAGTAACCCCTGAGCACCACCAGGTGGGGTCCCAAAACACCCAAGTGGGTGAATTGAAAATACGGGTCTTGGCTCCACCCGGACCGGCACCAAGGCACACCTGCAGCCTCTCAGGACCCCGAGTTCCGGCCCCTGCATACAGCCCTCGCTCCGCCACTTCCCTTCCCAGGTCTTAAAGCTTTGTTGGAATAAACAATATAAAGTTAAAAAGAAAAAAAAGAAAATACGGGACTTGGTGAGGCCAGAGTAGTAGTCCAGCAGGGAGGGCACTGGCCTTGCACTTGGCCAACCCAGGTTAGATCCCTGGCTTCCCATATGGTCCCCGGAGCACTGCCAGGAGTGATCCCTGAACGTAGAGCCAGGAGTATGCCCAAATATGGCCCCAAAAGAAAAAGAAAATATCGGTCTCAGGGTCCAAGCCAGGAGTAAGCCCTGAGCACTGCTGGATGTGACCCTAAATTTGTTTCCAGCACCTTCTCCCTCCCCTCCACCCCCAACACACTCAGAAGGAAACCAGGAGCCTCAGGGCAGAAGATAGGGTTTGCTAGAGCACTTGGCTTGCTTATGTGAGGCCCTGGGTTTGATCCTCAGCACCACCAAACTCCCACTCCCCCCCCAAAAAAAACAATAAATAAATAAAGCGGCACCATCTCAGTGACCCGCAGGGAGAAGCCAGATACTTTCACTGTGAGTCCAGGGATGTGGAATATCTGGAACCAGGACATCTGCTGACACAGAAAGATTAAGTGGTTTCCAGGACTTGCGGGCGGGGGTGGTCAGGGAATGTGGGAGTGATGACAAATAGGTAAGGGCTTCTTATGGGTGGTGATGAAAACATTCTAAAATTGATTGTAGTTGGGCTGGAGCAACAGTACAACAGGTTGGGGGTTTGCCTTGCACGCAGCCAACCCAGGTTTGATCCCCTGAACCCCATAAGGTCCCCCAAGCACTGCCCAGGGGTAAGTTCTGAGTGCTGAACCAGGAATAACCCCTGAGCATTGCTGGGTGTCGCCCAAAAAGCAAAAGAGAAGGTTGGTCGTGTTGAGAGTTGCTCAATTCTGAATATCCTAAAAGCCATTAAAACCTGTCCCTAGGTGTTTATTTTGGCTTTGGGGCCACACCCAGCAGTGCTCAGGGCTCACTCCTGGCAGGGCTTGGGAAATATTTGGGGCGCGGGGGATCTAATACAGGTCATCCCTGTGCAAGACACGCGTCATGACCACTGCCGGACAGACTATAGCTCCGGCCCATCTTGGACGCTTCTTTCTGGGCTCTCTGCCCACAGGCACATGTCTGTGCCCCTCCTGGGTGTCTTGGGGCAGGCGGTGTTTGGGGCAAGCTGCAGGCACGTGCTTTTCTTTTTTTTCTCCTGAATTTCCAGGGTCCTTTGAAGCATGCTCAGGGACTTTCACTGATGACATTTTGCCCAGCTGCTGTAGCCCGATGCTTCAGTGCTCTGTTCACTAGGGCCACCCCTGCAGTGGGGGTGGGGTCCGATGTCTCCTCCAGGTCCCCAGGTGTTCTCCCCTCCCTCCCAGGGCGTGCAGGGTTGGTGGGAGGGGTGGCCCCTGCATCCCAGCCCTTCTGCAGGCTACCTGGTGGGAACAGTGTGTGCTGGGGCTGGGGAGGGGACACAATGGCTGAACGAAGGTGGGGTTGGGGGGAGCAGCCCTGCAGGCACTGCAGGGTGTGACCCTCAAACTGAGCAAACAGAAAAGCAAAATGAAAAGAACGCGGCTGTGTGTGACCCTGATGGCACTCCCTGCCAGGGTCCAGCCTTTTCCTGTCGGAGGCCAATGCCGAGCGGATCGTGCAGACCTTATGTACAGTTCGGGGAGCGGCTCTGAAAGTCGGCCAGATGCTCAGCATCCAGGGTACAGCCTGTTGCCCCCCACCCCTGCCTGCTCTCCCCCTCCAGCCCCCCGACCTCCTTTCTACTCCCTTCAACTCCCCCCCCCCAATACTCCCAGGGTAGGGCAGGGCTGGGGGCTCCCCTCCTCATGGTAGGTCCAGGGTCTCCCCCCTCACGGTTCCCCTCGCAACTTCCCCCCAAGACAACAACCTTATGAGCCCCCAACTGAAGCGCATCTTCGAACGTGTCCGCCAGAGCGCTGACTTCATGCCCCGATGGCAGATGATGGTGAGAATATGTGTGTGTGTGTGTGTGTGTGTGTGTGTGTGTGTGTGTCGGGGGGGGGTGGGGGGAGCTGGAGAGATGCACTATCTCCTCCCCTGATTTCTCACCCCGGTGTTCGCCCCAAACCCAAGGGGAGCGCCGGAGCACAGTCCTTGGAGGACCGGCCTGAGGCTTGCTGGCGTGGAGGGTGCTGAGTGCCGGGTTGGGGGCGGGGGGCAGTGGCTAGAGGAGTGGCGGGGGCTGCGGGTGAGATGCGGTATGTGTGGGGGGCAGGGAGCAGCGCCACCCACCACGCAGGACCAGGCAGGCCACACGCGAACCTTGATGGTCATGATTCCTCGTTTCTTAATTAAAGGCGATCGTGGCTGTAAATAGGTTGGCACAGCGCCTGGCACTGAGTAAGTGCCCAAGACATGAGCTGTTCTAATAAGCAGGCGAGGGTGTGGGATCCGGAAGGGGCAGCCGACGTCCCCCTCCTGGTCCCAGCCCGGCATGATGCCTGCCCCGCTCTCTGCCAGTCCAGACAGGCTCTGGCCCAAGGAAGCCCTCATTCAGCACTGCTTTATCACGTGCAAGTGAAGAGTATCAGCTATAGGGGCTGGAGTGCTAGTGCTGTGGGGAGGTCGCTTGCCTTGCATGAGACCGACCCAGGTTTGATTCCCGCCATCACTTAGGGTCCCCCGAGCCCCACAAGGCATCATGCCTGAGCACTGATCTGTGAGTCAACCCCAAACACTGCTGGGTGTGGATGCCCTCTGCCAAACAATACCATCTAGGAGTGCACCAAGGAATAGTCTCAGTCTTCACTCCTTTCTCATAGCAGTCCCCAGTGCAGGCTGTCTGTTTCCTCGTCTATGAAATGGGATCATGGCCCTAGGCTGAGCCCCGGGCCCCACATGGGGCAAGCCATCAGGGCTCATGGAGAATGTGCTCAGCCGCCCTCGGTCACCACCACGACCCCGCTTTCCACAGAGAGTTCTTGAAGAGGAGCTGGGCCAGGACTGGCAGACCAAGGTGGCCTCCTTGGAGGAGGTGCCCTTTGCCGCTGCCTCCATTGGGCAGGTGCACCAGGGCGTGCTGAAGGATGGGACAGAGGTGGCAGTGAAGATTCAGGTGAGAAGGGGAGTGGGGCGGGTGTGGGCCCCCTGGCTGGCCCAGAGCTCTCACCCCCTCCACCCTGCCCCTTCCCCTTGCAGTACCCGGGTGTGGCCCAGAGTATCCAGAGTGACGTCCAAAACCTGCTGGCTGTGCTGAAGATGAGCGTGGCCCTGCCAGAGGGTGAGGTCCGCCCACCCATCCCCTGCTGAAGGCGGGAGCCCCAAGGGAGCCAGTGCAGCCTGGCGTGGGGGAGTGTGATCCCACCACCCCGAAACCCCCCCCCCCCCGGGGAGCATGAAAGAGATGAAATAGCAGAATCTGTGGCCCCAAAACCAGGCCCGGTGACCCTGCATGTACAGGGGAAGGGAAGGCGAGCGAGGCTGAGTGTGGGGGGCCCGGGGGTGCCCCAGGGAGTGGGGGCAGGGGCAGGCCTAGAAGATTCCGGGACCTGGAAAAGAGACTGAGCAGGTGGGCCTGAGGGGTGGGAAGATGCCCGGGGCACTTGAGGCCGAGTGTGGGCAGGGGCAGACTCTGGCAGCGGGAGAAGGCGTCCCTGATGAGGGTGGGGGAGGGCCAGGGTCCCCCCCTCTGACGCTGCTGCCCACCCAGGCCTGTTTGCCGAGCAGAGCCTGCAGGCCCTGCAGCAGGAGTTGGCCTGGGAGTGCGACTACCAGCGCGAGGCAGCCTGCGCCGGGAACTTCAGGTGGGCCACGCCCCGTCACCCAACCCGCACACCTGGACAGGCGGCCTTGGCCGTCTCTCCTCATCCACGCCTTCAGGCTGCACCCTGCTCCCCGCCCTTCTCCCTGTGCCCACTGAGCCTGGTGGGCACCTCTCCCCACCTTAGCCCTCCCCCCCTGTTTCCTTGCCCATTCTGTGGGACACCCCCTGCCTCCCCACCACCCGGACTGATGGGCTTCAGCAGGCGGGTGATGGAGAGAGCTGCTGCGCACGCGTCTCCAAGGTACCCTGCACCGGGGAGTGGAAGTGGGCAGAGAAGTCGCTATTCAAGCAGGTTTCTGGGTTGTTGGGTGCCAAGGATCCATCCAAGGGCCTGTTAGGAGCAAAGCATGTGGTGACTGCTGAGCCACTTCCAGCCCTGTGAAGGCATTCAGGGAACAGTCTGGGGGAGTTGGGGGCTGGAGAAATAGTCCTCTGGTAGGGTCCTTGTCTTGCACACAACTGGCCCAGGTTCGATCCTCAGCACCCTACAGGGTACCCTGAGCACCACTGGGAGTGATAGCAGAGCAGGAGTAAGCCCTGAGCACCACCAGGTGTGGCCCAGGAAACACACAAACAAAAAGGAGGAGGTTTTTTTTTTTTTTTTTGTCCCAGAGAGGCTGGTGAGATGCTCAGTAGGTCAGGGCGTGGGCTCTGCATGCCGGAGGCTTGGGTTCGATCCCTGGCACCGCATGGTCCCTTGAGCGCTGCCAGGAGAGAGAGTGTGTGTGCCCCCTGCAGGCTTTGGTTAGGGCCGTGGGCCCTGGCACAGAGGTGGGATCTAGTCCCACGCCAGCCCTTCATGCACCAGATGGCCATATGGTACCTGGGGATCTGGCCATGTCCAGGGGCAGAGAGGGTCAGCTCTGTTGATGACGGGCCTGAGGGTTTTGGGACAGGGGACCCCGGGGAGGCCTGAAGCAGAGTCCTGAGGAGGGTGGTGTGAAGGGGGGCTGACGGTCTCTGGGGTGACTTCTCCCGCCCCAGAGCACCCTAAGCACCAAGAATAACCCCCCCCTTTACCCCCGCCCCTCCCTCCAGCCACCTCACAGACCCCCAGTGGGAGCCTCATTCTTTGTTTTGCAGTTTTGATTTTGGGGCCACACCTGGTGATGCTCAGGGCTGACTTGAGCTCAGGGACCACTCCTGGTGGTGCTCGGGGGACCATATGGGATATCGGGGATTGACCCCTGGTCAGTTGCATGCAAGGCAAATAAATGCCCTACACGCTGTGCCATCACTCCAAATAAGGTCTCACTCTTATTCCTTGTCCCCCAAATCTGACATTGGCACACCTCAATCTATGATGGCTGTTTATTAGAATAGGGTCTGGGATGCTGGGATGTTGGAGGGGGCCCTTAACGGGGGCTCAGCTGCTGCTCTGTATACCACACCCTCCGCCACCAGCTCTCATCATCCAGCCAAACACAGACTTGAGAAATTTTTGTTTGTTTGTTTTGGGTCACACTTGGTGGTGCTCAGGGCTGACTCCTGGCTCTGCTCAGGGATCACTCCTGGCGGAATCCACATGTGGTGGCCAGGACCGAACCAGGGCTGGCTGGATGCATGGCATGTGCTTTCTCTGCTGTACTCTGTCTCTCAGAGCACTGTTGAATGAGTGAATGCGTAAGCAGATGAATAAAACACAGAATAAATGTGAGCTCAGACAGATATGAGCCATCATTCAGGACAGAGGCAGGAGAAAGACAGGCAGTAGCCAAACAGGCTGTTCATGGAGGACTTCTTAGAGGAGGAGGCCATGAACTGGGCCCTCACAGAGCCTGAAGCACCAAGTCCCTCCTCCTCCCTTCCCTTCTGCCTAGGCAGCTGCTGGCCGATGACCCCTTCTTCCGGGTGCCAGCTGTGATTAAGGAGCTGAGTACAACACGGGTGCTGGGCATGGAGCTGGCAGGAGGGATCCCCCTGGATCAGTGCCAGGGCCTGAGCCAGGATATCCGGGATGAGGTACGGAGTCTTCTGGAGCCAGAGTGAGGGTGGTGCCCCAGGGCAGAGCCAACGGTTGTGTTGGGGGGGAGGGGAGGGGTGGTTGCTGGACCCTCGCTCCTGCCTTGGGCCAGAAGGCTGAGCTGCCTCTCCCACTCGCCCCTCAGATATGCTTCCAGCTCCTGAGGCTGTGCCTGCGGGAGTTGTTTGAGTTCCGCTTCATGCAGACCGACCCCAACTGGGCCAACTTCCTGTACGACGCCTCCAACCACCAGGTGGGTCCCTGGAGCAGGAGCACCAGCTGCTGGTGCCCGTGTTTCCCCGTGTCCCAGGCGCCTGGCACAACACGAGTTTCCCTCTGGCTTGGTCTTGAAGCTACCTCTGGCGGTGTGCTCGGGGGACCACAGTGTGGCGGGCAGGAGGCTGGGTCTCCCACCGTGGGCATCAGCTCCAACCCTGGGGAGCCTCCTGGAGGCCAACACAGTACCCAGATGGTTCCGTTGGTCTTCCTCCAGGTACTGACTCGGGAACTCGGGCCTGCCCATTTGTGGCTGGGCCATGTCCTAGACCGGGCCCTGCTCTGGTTCCGGTGGGCAGGTGACCCCCGCCACACTGCTTTGACCTTCATTACTGTTCCCTGGAGGAGACTTGGCTATGGAAGCACAAGGGGTGCTGGGAAATGGAGCCCCTGGTCGCCACCGGCCTCCTAGCAGCCATGCAACAATGCAGAGCAGCCTGAAGGCCCTAAATCATGGTCACCACACTTGCTGTTCTATTAGACACATCAGGCACCCACCAGTGGCCTCTTGCCAACGACAAACAAGATGGGCTGATGCAGCAGTGCTATGGAGAGGGTGCTTGCAAGCATGCAGCTGACCCAGGACCATCCCCAATGGTCCCCCAATCCCCCCCTGAGCATACACAGGAGTCCAGGAGTAAGCCCCGAGCACCACTGGGTGTGCACCCTGTACCCCGCCTTCCCAAAGGCTCTGGGAAAGCCTCACCTTCCCGGGGCACCCAGTCCACTGGGGAACCAAACCCCAGCACCCTGCACACTGACCTAGAGCCACAATTTTCAGCTCCCTCCTGCCTGTAGCAGAAAAAAAAAAAAAACCACTCGATCCAGAATAGTCCAAGGCAAGATGGAGAAGCACAAGCTAGAGTGGTCAGGGCTGCTTGGGGAAGCCAAAGAGAAGATTGAGTCAGCCTGGCATGGGACAGGTCAAGGAGGGCTTCTAGGAGGAAATATCCTTGAAGCTGAAACCAGGTAGATCAGAAGAGAACTGAAAGAACAGGAAAGGACGCAGGACGCCCATGGGCAGGGGCCCAGGGTCAGACATAGACCTGTCTCTGTGTGGCTGCCAGATGGCTCGAAGGGATTTTCTAAAACATATCTCTGGGGACTAGAGCGATAATACAGCAGATAGGGTGTTTGCCTTGCACACGGCCAACCCGGGTTCGATTCCCAGCATCCCATATGGTTCCCCGAGCATCGCCAGGAGTTAATTCCTGAGTGCAGAGCCAGGAGTAACACCTGTGCAATGCCAGGTGTGACCCCCCCCCCCAAAACACACACACACACACACACACACACACCCCTCTGGGCTAAGGTGTCCCATCCATAGCTGCTCAGAACCTCCAGCATCAGGCCTAAAACATGTATTTATGAAAACCGAAGGCCGGATAGTACTCAAGGCCTGAGTTCCCACCACATGGTATCCCCCCCACCCAGTACCACCCCAGCCCCAAATTCTGATGATGTGGCTCCAAATCCCCCTCAAAAATTAGAATCAGTTTTTTATTTTGGGGGGGCACCCCCAGCGGTGCTCTGGGCATACTCCTGGTTCTGTGCTCAAGACTCACTCCTGGCAGACACGGGGGACCATATGGGGTGCTAGGGATCGAACCCAGGTCAGCCACTTCACCCCCACCTTCTCGCTGTACTCTAATCCCTAAATCAATACATTTTAAAGAGGTGTAAATTCATACCTCCTAACAGAGTCTTTAAACCAATATTACCTCAACAAAAAAACTTACGGGGCTGGAGTGATAGTACAGGGGGTAGGGCGTTTGCCTTGCACGTGGCTGACCTGGGTTTGATTTCCAGCATTCCATATGGTCCCCTGTGCACTGCCAGGAGTAATTCCTGTGCATCGCTGGGTGTGACCCAAAAAGCCAATAATGATAATAATAAATTAAATAAAAGCCTTACAATATAGAGACAAAACCCCTAACCACTTACAGTGAAAGCAAAATAAAAGATTTCTTCAGCGTCCTGTGGGGTGGATTGGACGTGTGGAGGCTGCCAGCCGGGTGCTAGGGACTGTGGCAGGAGAGAGGGACAGAGGGGACTGTGGGAGCATCCCAGCATTTCCTTTACCACACCTCGTTCCTAGGTGACCCTGCTGGACTTCGGTGCAAGCCGGGAGTTCGGGACGGAATTCACAGACCACTACATCGAGGTGAGTATTTTCTCGCACCAGCCGGAAGGCTGAGGTTTCCCGCCGGGGCCTGAGCTGAGGGGCAGCAGAAGCCTCAGGCTCCAGAGTCAGGAATTGTTGAGTACCAGGGGCCGTGATGGCCAGGCCCTCCTACCGCCCCCGCCCCCAAGAAGGGCCTCACAGGTGCTAAAGTCAAAGCAGGCCCCACAGTCATCTGTCACTCAGCACACATGGGGCTGTTTGCTCTAGGGGCCATACTGGGAAGGGCTGGAGGGTGGCCGGGCAGTGCCAAGGAAACAGCCCACAGCCTGGCGCATGTCCGACATGGGCTTTATCGCTTTAGCTGTATCTTCCCCAAACTGGGATGTGTCTGGAGCGGGGATATGCTTGGTGGTGCTCTCTGTGGGGACCGAGTGCTACCAGGAGTTGGATGTGGGTCTCCTGCATGCAAAGATGTGTTCAGTCCTTTGTCTTTAAAAAAAAAAGTGTATATATATATATATATATATATATATATACACATACACACACACACACACACACACACACACATATATGGTTTTTGGGCCACACTCGGCAGCGTTCAGGGTTTATCCCTGACTCTGTGCTCAGGGATCACTCCTGGAAGTGCTTGGGGGTGTTGGGGCTCGAACTTGGGTCCGCTGGGTGCAAGGAAAGCTCCCAGATCTTGGTACTGTTTCTCCAGCCCCTACTCAGTCCTTTGAACAACCTCTCTAGTCCCAAGGCTGGGGTTTTGGTTTTCTCTTCAATGTTCTGAGCTCATTTGTTGGGTCCAGAGAGAAAGAGAGTACAGGGCTAAGGTCCCCCATGACCAGTGTAACTCCTGGCACCCCCTTGTTCATGACCTCAAACATCTGGGACTGTGGGGGCCTCCCCCACTTTCCCCCAAAAATAAAATCAGGGAGTAGAAATGAGTTGACAGAAATAATTTGATCCAGAGTGACCCCGAGTGAGCCAAGTGATAGTACAGGGGCGGGTGCTTTTCTTTTTTTTTTTTTAATTTCTTTTTTTTTATTTAATCATTTTTTTATTGGTGAAACACCATGAGGTACATTTATAGACTTATAAATTTTTGTGCTTGGGTTTCAGTTATACAATGATCAAGTACCCATCCCTCCACCAGTGCCCATCCTCCCCCACCACGGGTCCTAGAATCCCTCCCACCCCCTAACCCCCCCCCCCCCCCCCCGTCCCACCCTGCCACTGTGGCAGGGCATTCCCCCTTGTTCTCTCTCTCTTCTTTTGGGTACTGTGTTTTGCCAGAGAGGCATTGAGTGGCAATCATGTTTGGTCTATAGACTACTTTTAGCATGTCTCTCCCACCCTGGGAGGGTCTTCACAACACCCTTTATTTGGTGCTCTCTTCTCTATCTGAACTTCTTTTCACCTAGAACGTGTGGCTGGCCTTCAAGTCATGGAGCAAAATTCCTGGTACTAATCTGAGCCATTCCTGGGTGTTAGTCTCCCGTTTTGTTGCTTTATATTCCCCAGATGAATGCAATCTTCTGTGTCTATCCCACTCTTTCTGACTCATTTTGCTTAACATGATACTTTCCATGTAGTACCACTTGTATGTAAATTTCATAACTTCATCTTTTCTAACAGCTACATAGTACTCCATTGTGTAAATGTACCAAAGCTTCTTTAACCAGTCATCTGTTCTCGGGCACTCAGGTTTTTTCCAGATTCTGGCTATTGTAAAGAGTGCTGCAATGAACAAACAATTGCAGATGTCACTTCGACTATACCTTTTTGCCTCTCTGGGATATATTCCCAGGAGTGCTATAGCTGGGTCAAATGGGAGATCAAATTCTAATTTTTTGAGAATCATCCCGGGTACTTTTCTTGCAGGCAGCCGACCTGGGTTCAATTCCCCAGCATTCCATATCATCCCCCTGAGCACCACCAAGAGTGATTCCAGAGTGCAGAGCCAGGAGTAAGGCCTGAGCACTGCCGGGTGTGGCCCCAAAACAAACAAACAAAAAACTCCAAAAAGAAAAACAGAGTGACCCCAAGTGGTGTCGGGCTGTGTGAGTCACTCCCAGTATTGCTCTCCCAGCACTGGGGGCCTGACAGTCTGCTGGTGGCACCCTGGGGGCCCTGCTGTGGTTGGGGGTCCTACTCAGACCTCGTGCTGCTGGGCATGCCCTCTGCCACCTGTGGTACCTTCCCAGCCCTGTCACTTTCTGTGCTTTGTTCATCTCTGCAGTGCTCACTCCTGGCAGACTCAGGGCCGTATGCAGTGCCGGGGATCAAACCCAGGTTGGGTGCATGCCAGGCAGGTACTCTCCCTGCTGTACCATTTCTTAAGTCACTGCATTGGGTGGAGCGGCACTCGGGGGGTGGGAGCCACCGTGGACGGTACTCAGCCTGGCTCTGCTGGAGGGCAGAGTTGGTATGGGGGGTTAGGTGCTTGGCTTGTACCAGCCGGCCCTGGTTTGATCTCAGCACCCACTAGGGTGGCCCAAGCCCCACCTGAGCGCAGAGCCGGGAATAAGCCCTGAGCACCACTGGGTGTGACTCCAAAACAAGAACAATCGATTGGGGCCTTCCGGTGCCACCAGGGATCAGACTCAAACCTCGTGTGTGCCAGCCACATGCTCTGGTGCCTGGGACTGTGCCAAGCACCGACCAGGTGTGGCCCTATAGCCACCCTGCAGTGACTCAGTGGGAAGCACCGTCTTGGCCTCATTATACAGATGAGGCAAGTGGGGCTCAGAGCGGTCATGGCCCTTGCCCGGGTCACAGCAGACCCAAGGTTCAGACTGAGGACGTGGGTCCTGAGGCCCTCCATGTGTCCTTCTCTCCCAGCAGGCGGCCCCCTCGCCCAGAGCACCCCCTACTCCTACCCTGGGTCAGTTTGTCCCAGAGGCCACAGAGGAGCTGAGCTCATTGATCAGTTGTCATTGGACATTCGACCGGGCTTCTTGATTCAATCATCAGTTCACCCGGGGACAAGAGAAGCCTCCAGCGCCAGGCTCCGCGTCCCCAGAGTGGTCAGGGTTGGGATGGGAGAAGCACAAGGGATTATGGGAACCCAGAGGAGCAACCTTGTCAAGCCTAGGGGGTCAGGGAAGGCTTCCTGGAGGAGGGGACGTCTGAGTTGAATCCTGAGAAGGATCCATTAGGAAGAGATTCGGGCGGCTTTCCAAAGTGCCAAATCAAGAGATGTGAAGGAATATTCATTTCTATAGAGCTGCTCTTCCCTTTTTTTTTTTTTTTTAAATTTTTGGCTTACGCCTGACAAATGCTCAGGGACTACTCCTAGTTTGGTGCTCAGGGTTCTCTGTTGGTGGTGCTCAGGGGGCCGTGCCAGGGGTAGACCCTGGGCCTCCTGGCACCATCTCCCTAGCCCAGCTTCTGGAACTTGAGTGTTGCCTGCACACACCCCTCCCTCCCCGTGACCCAGCTCAGACATGACCCTGCTCAGACGCTGGGCCGGAGCTAGGCTTCAGCCCCTGTCCATCTCCCGCATGCGACCGGAACTGCTGGGACAGGCCCTGTGCTTTGGGGTGCTTTGGGGCGCTTTCAGGCACGAGGTCCTTGTCTGTTTCTGGGCCACTGGCTGGGCAGGGAGGAGGCAGAGGCTAGTCACTGTCCACCTACCCCCACCCACAGATCTAAGCTTCGTAGCTCGCCCGTGCTCTGAGGGTCCTGGGGAGTTCCCCGAAAGATCTGAGCAGGGGAGAAGATGTCAGAGTTTGCACCATCCCTCTGAATAAGGGGGAGGGGTAGGGGGGGCAGCGGGGGGGTATGGGGAGGGAGGGGCCAGAGCCCAGGGAGGCTCTGATGATGAGAATCAGGGGCCAGGCCCCAGAGGTGGAATTGGGGGCTGGGGGGAAGGAGGAGGAGTTGATCTCTCCCCACACACACACATGCACAGATCCCTGAGGATGTCGCCCCCGCTCCCGCAACCCCCCCCCCCCCCGCCCCCCGCAGGCCTGTCCAGTCTGGTCCTCCTGCTGCTTGCCAGTCTTCTCCAGTTTGAACCGGCCCCTGTTGCGGCCCCAAGGCCCACAGTGCGACAGATGGCCAGACAGGCCGGGGCTGGGGAGCTGGAGCTTTGATCCCGGGGTCCCTGCCCCTGCCGGCCAACCCAGAAAGGGCAGCTCGCTCGGGGAAGTGTCGGGCCCTGCCCCCACCCTCCCCAGGTTCCCTGGTCGCTGAGCAGGCCACTCGAACCTCACCGTATCCCACCTCACCCATGCGGAGGCTCTGGTCAGCAAGTGACAGGGTGGAACTGCGCCCCGAGGCAGGTCCCAATTCTGTCTATCCATCCATCCATCTGTACTACCCCCTGACCCCACCCCTTGCCCCCATACCCCTGCCCCAGTCCTCTGCACTCAGGACCAGGAATAAACTCAGGTCCACCAGGCATTTGCTAAACAGGGGTTCATCCAGAGCCTCTTGAGGACCTGTGCCGGGTCCAGCACGGGATCCCCGGGCAGCAGGTGGTCAGAGTTGGTGCCTCGGCAACCTGGGGACCATCCTGGGCCATAGTCACGTCCTAGTGCAGCCGAGGCAGGGACCCCTGAGCTGCACTTGCCTTGTTGTTTCTGGTGTGGATCACTTCCAGGAAGGCTCTGTTTATTTCCCAGCCCCAGGGTGGGGGGGGAGCGTCGCAGGGGCCCCCTCCCCACACCCCCCTGCAGCCCCCAGGGAGACACTTGGGCAAGATGGGGGGAAGAGACCTGGAGGCAAAGGGGTGGGGGGGGACAATGCCTCTGGGAGCCAGGCTTGAGTCCAGGTGTCCAGATCCCTCCTCTTCATGCACCCTACTCGTTACTAATTTGTTTTGATTTGGGGGACACCTCTGGAGGTGCTCATGGGCTTCTCCTGTCTTGTTCCTCAGGGGGTCTTTACTGGCAGTGCCTGGGGGGGTGGGAGGGGAGACCCAGTCTCAGCCTCCACCCTGAATGCAAGGTGCCTGAGCTCCCCAACTTCCACTCCCCCTCATCCTGTGTCCCCCCGAACCCTTCCAGGTGGTGATGGCTGCAGCTAATGGAGACAGAGACCGAGTCCTGCAGAAGTCCCGGGACCTCAAATTCCTCACAGGCTACGAGACCAAGGTCAGGGACATCTGCCTAGGAGGGAGACATGGGGGTCGGGGGCTGCAGGTCTCTGGGATGGGGGTCCACAGAGAAGTGGGGCTGCCCAGCTTCTCAAGGAACCCTGCCCAGGTGGGTACCACATATCTATTCCAGAGCGAGGAAATGGGGGTACTGCAGGTACAGGCTGTGTGTCTGGGGCTCTGGGGGCAGGTGAAGGGCCTTATTCTGGGGCTCTGCCTGACCCTCTTGGGGCAGGGATTGAGGGCTGGTATTTATACTCCAGACTGGCTCCCTCTGCGACAGATGGGGGGCTATGTCCTGGCTGACCAGCGTGTTGTCCTCCTGCATCCCCCAGGCCTTCTCTGACGCCCACGTGGAGGCTGTGATGATCCTGGGGGAGCCCTTTGCCACCCAGGAGCCCTATGACTTCGGGGCAGGCGGCACTGCCCACCGGGTGCAGGGTCTTATCCCTGTCCTGCTGCGGCACCGCCTCCGCCCGCCCCCAGAGGAGACCTACGCGCTGCACCGGAAGCTGGCGGGGGCCTTCCTGGCCTGCGCCCACCTCCGGGCCCGCATCGCCTGCAGGGACCTCTTCCTGGACACCTACCGCCGCTACTGGGCCCAGCGCCAGGCCTGAGAGCCAAGGCCCTCTGCCTCCCAGGGGCCCTCGACAGAACTCAGCCTTCCCACCCTGGGAAGGCTCTGGGATTGAGGACCGGCCCCACACCCCAGCCTTCGGAGGATTGCCTAGCTCTCTCTCAGGGGCTTCACCCCTCCATCCTGCTCAGCGCAGGCCAAGGTGGTATCAGGGAACCAGTCCGCATCGAGGGAGCCGGCTGTCACAGAGACTCAGACTCAGAGAGAGGGAAAGCCTCCACCCCCACCTCTGGTCTCCCAGGAGGGAGTCCCCTCTGCGCAAGGAGGAGGCAGGCTTGGCGCTGGGCAGAGGCCGCCGTACCACTTCAGACCCCTCCAGCAGCTGCCTGCTCTCCGCTCCATCCTCTCTGTCACCAGGGTGGGTGGCCCTGGGCATTGACCCTTCAGCCCGAATAAAAGCGGCCCCCATCCCCCAGCTCTTGTGCCTGCGCTGGAGTGAGGGGTGGGGGAGGAGCCGGTGGGCTGCCTCCAGGTGCAGATGGCGAACCCCCTCCCACCCTCTTGTCTGAAAGCCTCAGCCCGGCCCGGGCCATCTGTTGCCGGGAACCTCCTTCTCCCCTTCCCCTCCCACCGTGCCCCCCAGCCCCCTGCACGTGCTGACCACCTGCTCAAAAGGCTGTGGCAGCTGAGACGGCCACCCTCCAACCCCCGGCCACCTCCCGGGCTCTGGGCTCCCGGCAACCTCGCCTTGCTAATGGGCCTTAATGCCTCAGCCAGCTGCTCTGCCAAAGCCACAGGACTGGGCGGGAAGGTGGGGTGCGGGGGAGGGGGGTGCGGGAGCGGCGGCGGCCAGAACCGCACCCAGGTCCCGGCCCTGAAGCCAAGCCCGAAGCCCACGGACGGCGCAGCAGGACGCCGGGGTCTTTCCAACCCCCCCTCCCCGTCCTTGCAAAAGTGCCTCGTCACAGCTCCTGCCCGCCTCCGCGGGGCTGCGAGAACGTGGGGTTAGCTGTAGGATCCGGGGGTGCGGGGCGGCGCTGCACCTCCGGGAGCGGCGGCCAGGGGGTGCGGACGTGGGGGGGGGGGGGGGCGATCCAGACGCGACTCCAGCGCACGCGGCATGCGGAGCCTCGACTGCCCAATGGGCGTGGTGGGGAGGGGGCGGGGCGAGGGGGGTCTTATTTATACGTGGGCGGGGCCTGACGGCGGAGGGGCGGGTCCTATTTGCATATCCCGGCGGCGGGCCAATGGGCGGGGCGGGGCGGGGCCTCGGCGGGAGGGCCGCTCCCCGCCCCCGGATCGGAATCCTCCGGGGAGCCGAGCGGACTCGCGCGCGTGCATCCCGCACCATTCCCCGGCCTGCGGCCCCGGCCCGCGTCCCCGCGAGCTGCCGCCGCCGCCGCCGCCGCCGTCGGAGCGCCGGGCCCAGCCGGGGCCGCGGGAGGCGGGGGCGCCCGGGCCCTGGATGTCCCGCAGCGCGGCGGCCAGCGTGAGAAGGGCGGGAGCGGGGGACCCGGGCGGGGGGCGGCGCCGCTGCTGATGTGGCGGAGGGTGGGAGGCGTCCGCGGCGCCCGGATGCAGCGAGGGTGCCAAGGCTGGGGAGGATGGTCCTGGGTGGGGGTCCCGGCACAGGAGCCCCCTTCCGCGGTAGCCAGCCCAGTTGGGGAGACGGGGGGCTGGGGCTGGGGGTCGTGGGCATAGGCCCTCTCTCCAAGGCTCCGGAGCTAGGGCGCCCTGACACAGACCCCCTCGTGATTAAAAAAAAAAAAAAATCAAGGACAGGGGCCAGGTTTTAGGTACAACTCCCTAGGCCAGGTTTTTTTGGGGGGAGGGAGTGGAGTCCAGAGCACAACCCGGGTCCCAAGCCCAGGCCTCCCCTCCAGGAAGCGGTTCCAGAGGAGACGCAATACCTCCCCCTCCCTCCCTCTCTCCAGAGTCTGAGCACAGCAAGCCTGGAGCAGGGGTCTCTGCCCACAGCTCCCCCTCTCCAGCCCAGGTCTGTGGGGGTGCCGAGCCCCGCCGGTCCCCAGGCCCCAGAGGTTGGCAGGGCACAAGTATCCCCGCCCCAGCCTCCATCCTTGGGCGGCGTCCCAGGAGCAGCCCCTTCTCCAAACAAGGTCCCCGGACTAGCGCCCGGGTTCCGGGACTCCACCCCGGAGCCCCCCCAGATTGGATGAGATCCGAGCAAAGCTGGGTCACCCCCCCTTCCGCCCCCACAAAGGCTTGGTCAAGGGCCCCGGGGCACAGGTCCCCTGGGGTTACCCCCTTTTGTCCCTGGGACTGCCCACCCAGCTGTCTGGGCGCTGCCCCACCCGCGGACAATGCACCACCACCCCCTCCGGGTTGGGGGACGCCCCTAGGCGACGGGCTTCAAGCTGTGCTGGGGGTGGGGGGGCGGCTCCCCAGGGACCAAGTGCCGCTGTCTGCGGTGGCCTTGTCCCTGCCGCTGCTGCCGTCTTTGTGTGTGGTGGTACCTGGGGAAGGGGGCAGGCGGGCAGACAGACGGGCAGGCCGTGGGGAGGGGGCCGAGTGTCACCCCTTGTTTCCGTGAGGGTGGCGCGTGCACTGCAGGCTGTTCGCTCTGAGGGATCTTATGTGTGTGTCTGTGTTTTAGGCTTGTGGCCGTGTCTGGAGGTGCCTGTGATTGTGAGTGCATGTATATGTGTGTGTATATGTGTGTGTATATGAGTGTGCTCCTGCTGCCCCCCCCCCGCCCCCATGTAGACCCCTGCACTTTTTCTAGCCCCCAACTCTCGAGTGCCTGTGTATGCATGCTTGTGACCCCAGGGGTGTATCGGTGACTCTCGCTGGGACCCCCTGCGTTTTGCGATTTTGTGGGCGGCGGTGTGGAGTTGGCACATGGGTGGAGTTGGACATGGGTGGAGTTGTGGCCAGAAGCGGGGTGGTGTGTGCCAGCCCGTCCAGGTGCGGCCCGCACGGGTGCCGGGGACTGTGTCTCTGCGTCACACACTTGTCTGTGACACACAACTGTCCCTGCCTCCCTGCACGTGTGACACTGTCCCAGTGTGTGCAGAGCCACATCTGTGAGTGTCCAGCTCCCTCAGGCCGGCTCTCGCTGCCCATCGCGCCTTGATTGTCGCGGGTGTGCGGTTTCCCTCACATCTGGGGTGGGTTCTTTTTTGGGACTGGGGGAGCTGGAGGATGCCTGGGATTGAACCTGGGGTGTCTCACTTACAGGGCAGGCGCTCTCCTGCTTCCCCCCCCCACCCCAGCCTAGATGCGGGGTCTGTCGCCCTCTTCCTGGTGGCTTCACTCTGTGCGTGTGACTCATAGGTGTGTCTGTGTGGTGGCACCAGGTAACGGTGCGTGTTTGTGGGGGCGCGTCCGTGGCTGTGGCATCTAAAAATTCCCCCAGGCCTGCCTGTCTCGGCTCCTGGATGACTGTGCACGCGTCTGGGCCAGGTACTGGGGAGAGCGTGTGTGTTCTGCCCTGGGTTTGGGTTGGAGTGACGGGGTGTGGGCAGTGGTCACTCGCTCCGGCAGGCATCATGCCTTCTGTGGGAGCACAGCCCTCTGTGCCCTGTCTGCCTCCTGGCGCTGTTGGGTGACCACCGGCCCGAGGGGCATTTGTGATGTCCGGGACTGTGGGTGTCTGTCCACACAGCCTGGGTTGGACCACACACTTGTCTACAGGACGTGCGGGCCGACCGGAAGAGCAGCCATCACAGAGCATGGTGATCGCATGGTCGTGGGATCCACGAGGCTGTGTGTCCATTCCCGTGGCTGGGTCACTGCCTCTGTCTGAGTGTGGCACCTCCTTGGTGGCCATTGCGTGTCCCAAGAGTGCCTGTCTGGTTCACTCAGGGCCCAGACTGTGGCCCTCAGTGGGTGTCTGTAATCTGTGGTAGATAGAGCGAGGGTTGGTGGGGGAGTCCCAGAGACTGGGGGACCAGGGTCAGGTGTGATGAGAATGTGTGCCTGTGTGTGTACGTGTGAGTGCGTGTGTGGGGGGGTTGGGGGGGTCTGCTCATGGGCTTCCTGCGTCGCCAGCAAGTGTGGCCGGGCTGAGACCATACGATTGGGTGCTTATGGCTGAGCAGGAGGTGACCTCTGTGTGTCTCTTTGTGGCTGGGTCCCCAGTAAGAACTTGGGGGGAATCTGTGCCTGGATCTTGCTCCTTGTATGTGGCTGAGGAAAGAGGAATGACCCAGTGGCAGGAGGTGACGGGGAGGCTGGGACACTCTGTGCTCCCATGCTTGTGGACTGATGTTGGCAGCAGAGACATGGGCTGTGTGAATGTGGGTGCCCACAGCAGCTCCTGCTGCCCTCATGTGTGTGTGTGTGTGTGTGTGTGTGTGTGTGTGTGTATGAGAGACTGTGGCTGTGTGACCGTGTGCTGGGCACCCAGGGCAGGCATGGCGTATGTCCAGCTGGCTGTGTTTTGTGTGTGACCCTGGCCGGTGTCTCAGGGCAAGGTTTCCCCCTCCTCACGCTGCCTAGGCTGTCCCTACAAACACCACCCCCCCGCCCCCCCCCCGCCCCCCTGCTCACCTCCTCTTCCTGGGCCCTTGGAACCAGGTGGCTGCGCTCCCTGGTTACTGTTGCTATGACAACAGGGTTCTCATCAGGGCATCTGACATGAGGGGGGTGGTGGCTGATGTCCAAGGAGGGGGTGAGGCAGGGGACAGAACCCCTTGCAGACCAGCGTCTCACCTCTCGGCTCTCCTGTGGGCAGGGCGGAACCAGGAGGCCCGAACACCGCTTGCCCCCAGCCCCGTGTGGGGCCCCGGGGCCCCCTGCACCCTCCAGGACGGAGCCAGGTGAGTGGCCTGCCAAGGATGGGGCAGGGGGCAAGTGGGAGGGAGGGCCTGGCAGCAGGAACACCGGATGCATTGTGTGCATAAAGGGACACTCCCCCACTGGGTGACCCTCCAAACCTTCCTCACTGGGCATGAGTTTACCCAGACACACAGTCTTCCGTGCACACACTAAGACTCTCCAACAGCCCCCAACCCCAGGTGGAGGGTCACAGAACATGAACAGACTTTATTCTGGACAATCTGCAGAGGGCACACTCCACGGCCCCACGCTGCCCAGATGCAGCCTCACACACAAGCCTTCGGGCTGGGGCTCTCCCCACGAGTTCTACTTCTGTGCACACATGCACATGCGCACACACACACACATACACATACACACACATAGGCTCAGACACACACACGAGCCATACACACACATGCATAGGCACACATGCATACACAAATACATACACACGAGCACACCAAGTGCACACACACACACATAGACATGCATGCATAGGCACATATGTGCACGCACAGGCACACATGGGCGTATGCACGCACACACACACACACACACACACACACGTGCGCACGGCTGCCCTGTTCGTCCTCAGCCCTCTCCCAGACGACAGGCTGACCGTCACTTCCTCCCAGACACACTCAGACAAGCCCCAGAGAGCGTCACCAGGTGCACACACACTCCCTACTAACAGCCGTTTGCCACACCCAGACCCCACACAGCCTCTCCGAGTCCTCTGGACACAGATCCTGGGGGGTGGGGGGTACCTCCCTCTCTCGGGCCACAGGTGCTCTGCCCAGAGTCACAACCAGCTCACAGGTAGCGTGTGATGACTCCCAGCTTGTCCACCTGATGGCCCTGACTGGGCACAGACTGCCCCCCCACCCCCCCACCCCCGCCGGCGTTCACAGGACATGTCTCTCTGCACGTGGCAGTGGCTGGCTCCTGGGGTCCCTCCTGCTAGAGGCACCATACTGGCGCTTCCCCCACCTCCTCCCAGGGGAGGGTTGTCTTAGCAGCTGCTGACCGCCACCCAGAACACAGTTCCTCCCCCCCCACCCTCCTGGGAACCCCATCTCAAACTACACGCGGTTGTCAGGCTGTAACTCGGACTGAGATGAGCTCCCACCCCCCAACCCCATGTGGCAGCCCCAATGCCCCAAGGCAGGTGCAGGCAGACCCTTGTGCCTGCACCTGCCTCTTTCCCGGAGCCCCCCAACCCTATTGCTCCTTGGCCTCCCACTACTTTGGGCCCTCGGACGGATCCTTTCACCGCCATATCCCCCATCTTTAAACCCCTACGAGCTGTGACTCTGCAGCCCTAGACCCCCGAGCTTCTGAACCCCTTCCCCTCCATTTTTTTTTTTAGCTTTTTGGGTCACACCCTGCAATGCACAGGGGTTACTCCTGGTTCATGCACTCAGGAATTACTCCTGGCGGTGCTTGGGGGACCATATGGGATGCTGGGAATCGAACCTGGGCCGGCCGCGTGCAAGGCAAACGCCCTACCCACTGTGCTGTTGCTCCAGCCCCACCCTCTCCCCTCCATTGCCCCTTCCTTCTTGTCCCCTGGGGGACCCATGTTCCCCAGATGTCACGGCCTCTGGTTCAGCGCCCGCCCCGCTGTTTCCCTCCTCCTTGTGCTCCATGTCCGTGCCCCCGCCCTGTGTCCGCAGACGGGGCGGGCACCATGAACAAGTTACGGCAGAGCTTGCGGCGGCGGAAACCCGCGTATGTCCCCGAGGCGTCACGGCCACACCAGTGGCAGGCAGACGAGGATGCTGTGCGCAAGGGCACCTGCAGCTTCCCTGTCAGGGTGAGTGTGGGGTGCGGGGGCGCGGGGCGAATGAGGCTCCCTGGGGGTGGGGTCCTGGAAGAGACCCCGCAGACTGGAGCACCTCAGCAGTGGAGTCGCTCCGGGCAGATCTCCCGGGACCCAGGTCCTATAGAGCTGGGATTAAATACAGAGTCATAGCAGGGCAAGCGCTGGCCTTGCATGCACCCAGGTTTGATTCCTGACATCCCATAAGGTCCCATGAACACCGCCAGGAGTGATCCTTGCCCATCGATGGGTGTGACTCCAAAGCAAAACTAACCAAAATAAAACCTGTTGAGGGCTAGAGAGACAGTACAGAGGGCGCTGCTTGCCTTGCACGTGGCTGACCCCGGCTCAATCCCTGGCACTGCCTATTGGTCCCCTGAGCATTGTTAGGAATAATTGCTGAGCACGGCCGGCTGTGGCTGGAAGAAAGACTTTTATGGGGGCTGGAGCAATAGCACAGCAGGTAAGGCGTTTGCCGACCTGAGTTCGATTCCCAGCATCCCATATGGTCCCCCAAGCACCACCAGGAGTAATTCCTGAGTGCAGAGCCAGGAGTAGCATCGCCGGGTGTAACCCAAAAAGAAAGGAAAAAAAAAGATTTTTTTCCATACGCTCTGTATCAGGAGAATATTTCCGGGGGTGGGGGGTGGGAAGCAGGGCCGCCTGGAGTTACCCCAGAGTGCCAGAGCTCACAGTTTCAAGGGCGCCAGTAGGTTACTGAGATGCTGCAGCGTCTGCAAAGTCCTCAGCTGCTAAGTGCTTTCTGGTTTAGACAACAACGATGCATAGGCCTCAGCAGCATTGGGGCTTGGGCCATGTGGTGGGTAGACTGGGTTCAAGTCCCAACCCAGCCCCTTCGGCACCAGTAACCCCAGTTGTCCTTCCCTTCTGTCCCCCTCCTTTGGAGACTGGGGCCCAGGACCAGGTGCGGGTGAAGGCCCAGGGAACAGACGGGACAAGACAGACAGCCCGGTGGGCATGCCTGGCGAGGGAGGGGCTCCACCTTGTGAGTTGAGGTGTGGTGTGGACGCCTCCAATAAGCAGGGCATGCTTCCGGCGCCGGGTGGAACTTGCTCAGTGAACCCCAGGAATGATGAATGATTGATGGTCGTGCTCACGTCGTGTTCTCCACCTGCGCCCCGCAGTACCTTGGCCACGTGGAGGTGGAGGAGTCCCGGGGCATGCATGTGTGTGAAGATGCTGTGAAGAAGCTGAAGGCGGTGAGTGGGGGACTGTGGCAGGGAGGGGGCGCAGGGGACCCCCACCAGTAGAGGCAGCCCTGACCCTTGCCTCCCTGCTCCCCAGATGGGCCGCAAGTCGGTGAAGTCAGTCCTGTGGGTGTCGGCCGATGGGCTCCGAGTGGTGGATGACAAGACCAAGGTAGGAGGACCGTGGGGCAGGGGTTGACATCAGCTGTGCCCCGTTCACTCTTCCAGAATCCACGGAGGACACTGTCAAGCCACTTGCCTGCCCCTCCTTCGGGCCTCTTCTAGAATGTTCCTTGGGCCATATCCCAGCTTCCCTCACTGCTTAAGCATGAGCCCCCTGGTTACTTGCCTGCTGGCATTGAGAGGGGTTGTGAGCCGAAATTGGCATTCCAGTACCTGTCACCACCCCCAACTCCCCAACTGGATGACCATACACACACACACACACACACACACCATGCCTAAGGGGTCTCATCTGTAAAATGGGGATAATGGTCTGGAGGGATAGTTCAGCACTGGGCCGGAACGATAACACAGCAGATAGGACATTTGCCTTGCACATGGAGGACCCAGGTTCAATCCCCTGCAACTTATACAGTTCCCTGTGCATGTGCACCACCAGGAGTAATTTCTGAGTGCAGAGCCAGGGGTCACCCCTGAGCATCACTGGGTGTGTCCCCAAAACAGCCTAAAAAGAGAGAGTGTGTTCAGCACCGAAGGCATTGCCCCCTGTGGAATTGTCCCCAATTGGTCATCCTGAAGCAGCACCAGGAGTGACTCCTTAGCACACAGCCAGGAAGAGTCTCTGGGCTACCCTAATCATGATCCAAAAGCTTCCCCAAAATGGAATAGAATGAGGGTCAAGATGGACCCTCCTTTGCCTTGCACGCGGCCAACCCAGGTTCAATCCCCAGCATCCCATATGGTCCCCCATGCATCAGGACTGATTCCTGAGTGCAGAGCCAGGCATAGCTCCTGAGCATCACTGGGTGTGATGTGACCCAGAAAGCCCAGAAAGCAAAAAAAAAAAAGATAGACTCTCCTGTCAGACAAGATCTCTGTGATTGATGAACCCACTACATCCAGACGGCTGAAGTGGAGAGTGTTGCACTACTGAGAATCATGAACCCGCGGCTGGGGCTGGGTACTCTGCTCACCTGAGTCCCCAGCAACGGGCAGAGAAGGCCCCTGCAGCGGAGTGAGGGTTTCACTGAGACCCAGCCAGGCCTGGGCTCTGGTGGCATAAGGCAGTTGTCTCAGCCGGAAATACCATTTATTTGTTGAGAGCCATCTGGTTGGTGCTCAGGGATTACTCCTGGTAGAGCTCAGGGGACCCGCTTTGGTGCCAGGGACCAAACTTGGGGCAGCTTCATGCACTGCAAGCACCTCACCTGCTCGACTTTATCTATGGTCGTTGTTTTCTTTCCTTTTTTTTTCCTGCCTGTTAACGCCCCGTTCATGAAGTCTTGCCTGATTTCTCCTGAGTTGGCACTTTCTTCTCTTGCTTCCTGTGTGAGCAACTGCCACTCCCCCACCCCCGCTTCTTTTCTTCTTGCTTTTTGGGTCACACCCGGGGGGTGTGATGCTCAGGGTTACTCCTGGCTCTACCCTCAGGGATCCCTCCTAGAGGTGCTCGGGTGCCCTATGGGATGCCGGGGATCGCACCCCGGTCAGCTGCGTGCAAGGCAAACACCCTCCCCGCTGTATTATCACTCCAGCCCCGTACCTGTGCCTCTCAATCTGAGCACTGACCCCTCTGCCTGAGCCTCCCTCCTTCCATCCTGGCCGTCGCTCTGGGCTGGCTCCATGAAGGCGTCCGACTTTTCCTCTCAGCTGGGTGCTCTGCACTCCCTGGCACCCCCCTCCCCCAACCCGGGCCATTTCTTTGGCTCACAGCTGCCACAGGGGTAGTGTTTACCAAGTGACTCTATGCGAGTCTGATGACGTGCCTCCTGTGGCTTCCCGGGCCCTCCCAGGACCTGCTGGTCGACCAGACCATCGAGAAAGTCTCCTTCTGTGCTCCGGACCGCAACCTGGACAAAGCTTTCTCCTACATCTGCCGGGACGGGACCACGCGCCGCTGGATGTGCCACTGTTTCCTGGCACTCAAGGACTCCGTGAGTGTCCCCAGGATCCTGCCCTGCCATCCCAGCCCCAGTTCCCATGGGCCCCCTTGCAGCCAGTGACACCTCCGACTACTCCATGTCCAGTGCTCTTGCCTGGCAAAGGGGGCGGCTCCCAGCTCCACACCTCAGGGTCATCGGGGACCCAAGTGTGCTCATGAGAGGTGCTCAGAACATGCTGCCCCCCAGGCATTCCCACAGCCGCCCCATCTCCCCCTCCTCCTCCTCTCCTGTGTTCTGTGCTTCTCCAACTTTGCTACTGGGTGCTTCCACGCACACACGCGTGTCCCCAAGCACAGAGGCCCCAAGTGGGCCCAGCTCTGGGACTGGGATATTTCTGGCATACAGAGGTCTAGAGCGGTTGTTTCTCAACCTTTCTTTAACCTTCTTTCCTTCCCTATGTTCACCGCCCCCCCCAACTCTATTTGGTACTATGCCCCCCACCCCATGTGTGCAGGTCCCTGGAAATATCCTCGGTCCTCCACTGGAGACCACATACCCCCCACACACTGTAAAAAATGCGGATCCAGAGGATTGCCTGCTCCCAGCAGGACCCTCCAGTTCCAATCGAACAGTTGTTCCACTGGAGCAGTAGTACAGTGGGGAGGGCGCTTGCCTTGCACACAGCTGACCTCAGTTCGATCCCCGACATCCCATAGGATCTCCAGCACTGAGCAAGAGCCGCCAGGAGTGATTCCTGAGTACGGAGTCAGGAGTAAGCCCTGAGCATCACTGGGTGTGTCCTAGAAACAAAACAAACAATACTTGTTCCCCAGCAGCACTCACTGATTCTTCTGCCTCCATTTTTTTTTTCTTTTCTGGGTCATACCTGGAAATGCACAGGGGTTACTCCTGGTTTTGCACTCAGGAATTACCCCTGATGGTGCTCAGGGGACCATATGGGATGCTGGGAATCGAACCCGGGCCGGCCACATGCAAGGCAAACGCCCCCCCTGCTGTGCTATCACTCCAGCCCCCATTTTTTTTTTTAATTAAATCACAGATAGTTACAAAACTGTCCTTGATTGGGTTTCAGTGTACAGTGTTCCAGCATTGTTGTTGTTGTTTTCTTGGAAGGACCACACCCAGCAGTGCTCAGAGCTAACTCCTGGCTCTGTGCTCAGGAATTACTCCTGGCAGCCTTTGTGCACCATAGGGAATGCTGGAGATCAAGCCTGAGTCAGCCGTGTGCAAGGCAAATGTATTATCCATTGTTCTATTGCTCTGGTCCCTACTTCTGTTTATTTTGCACTGGTTCCTTCTGTTTTGGGTCCCAAGGACTCCTTCTGAGAGTTTGGCGTCAGCCACTGTGGCGCATCTTTTCAGAAGTGTTCTCACAAGTAGGGCTCTAAGGTTTGTTACAGGGAAGCTCCAGATTCCACTGATTCCAGTGATATCAGAAGCTGGTTTCAGAATCTGAACAAAAGCATCCAAATGCAGTTTATGGGGTACCTGTGCAGCCCCCCTCACCCATCAGGGGATGCGGCTTCACATATGTCTTGTTGTCACATTGGAATTCAGCTTCCACTCCTCTGTGATCCTGGAGGGATGCTTGTGCTCCAGCCCTTACATCTTCATTCCAACCACGTGCCAGGGGGAGGCATGACATCTCCAACTCTATACTGCTGGCAGGAACCTAATGGTCAGGATGTCTTAGCTGCAAAAGATGGTGGAAAATAAGTCTTTTCTGCTTATTTTGGAGTTATACCTGGCAGTGCTCTAGGGCTACTCCCAACTCTTAGCGATCACTCCAGGCAGTGCTCCAGGGAGCCTACAGTTGTTGTGACTTGGGCCTCCACTTGCACAGCACGTGCTTCAGCCCTTTGAACTGTGTTCCCTGCCCCCTGCCCTGGACCTTGGCCACAAGGCTTCTCAGTGCTCTGTGGTGGCCAGTGCTCGTTGGTTGCTGACTGCAGACCAAGTCCAGATCAGGAAGAGCCTGTGAGGGACTCGGAAACTGGAAGGCTAGAGGCCAGGAAGCCTGGGGATATCCCCCCTCAAGGCACTCCTGGCCCGCAAGATTCCTTTGTTGGTGGAACTGGAGTGATTGCACAGCAGGTAGAGTGTTTGCCTTGCATGAGGCCAACCCAGGTTCGATTCCCAGCATCCCATATGGTCCCCTGAGTACCGCCAGGAGTGATTTCTGAGTGCAGAGCCAGGAGTAACCCCTGGCCAGAAGACTGAGCATCGCTGGGTGAGACCCAAAGTCAAGAAGGAAAAGAAAGGAGAGGAGAGGAGAGGAGAGGAGAGGAGAGGAGAGGAGAGGAGAGGAGATTCCTTTATTCATTTGTTGGTTGGTTTGGGGGCTACTCCCATCTCAGTATTGAGAGGTCTCTGTGGTGCTGTGATTGAACCCAAACCTCCTGCAGGCCCAGCTCTGACTGATAAACTTCTTTTACAAACCTGAGGTCTCAGCATCAGGCTGTGGGGCCTTTGGCACAAATGACTCTCTCAGGGACTTTGTCTCTTCTCAATGGGGGATGGAAGCATCCATTCTGGAGGTCACACAGAAAGTTCTAGAATTCTTTTGGGGGGAGTTGGGGGTGTCTGTGTATACCCAGTAGTGGTCAGGGCTTAGTCCTGGCTTTGCATTCAGAAATTATTCCTGGAAGGCTCCAGGGAACATATGGGATGCCGGGGCTCGAACCTGGGTCAGGCCACGTGCAAGGCAAATGCCCTCCCCGCTACGTTGTCTCTCCATGCCCACCCCTCCTTTTCTTCCTACTGCTGGGAACCACACTGCCCAGGTCTCAGGCATACAAGGCAACTTACTGTCCCAGCTCCAGCACCCCCCAAGGAAGTGTCAGTTGATGTCCTGTACTCCGTGTCCAGTAAACACGCACAGTTGCGCTGGCTTGGGGAGAACGTGGGGGCGGAACACGCGCAGAGGGAGCTTTGCCGTCTTAGCAGTGAGTCTTCCCGCACGAATCTACGAGGACTCCATCTGCTTCGCGTCCCCGCCCCGCCGGGCTGGTGGCTTTCTGTGGACTCGTCCTCCGTGTTCTTAGATTCCATTTGCTCTGTCAGACGCTGCTGTACTTGCAGTTGTCAACCTCGTGTCAGTCCCAGGACTGCGCATGGTGAGGGCGCATAGCTGCCTCAGATTTTTGCTTCCTGATCTTGTATTCTAAAAGTCACGTAAATAAGTGTGTGTGTGTGTGTGCACGTGCAACTGCTGTGTGTGTCTCTGTGTCTGTCTGTGTGTGTGTTTGTGTGTTTCTGGGTTGGACTCCAGGTTTCTCGCAAAGCCTACACTGATCCCTCAATAATATTAGCCTCAGCACTTGGATTCATTTAGTTTTATTGCTTTATTTTTTTCTGGGCTACACCCAGTGGTGTTGGAGTTGGGGTGGCTGGCTCCCTGGCGTGCTTGGAATCTGTTCTCTGCTAGTGGGCTGGGGGGATGCAGTGTAGGATCTAATCCTCTTCCCCTGAATTCAGAGTGTGTTTCTTCAGTCACCTTCCCAGCTCTTGAATTCATTTTGTAACACTGGGGATTTAAATTCATTTTTTTCACCGATAGGCTATGGATTCTCTCTTTCTTTCTTTCTTTCTTTCTTTCTTTCTTTCTTTCCTTACTTCCTTCCTCTCTCCCTCCCTCCCTTGCTCACTCCTCCCTTCCTTCCTTTGCAACAACCAGCCATGGGGTTACTCCAGGCTCTGCACTCAGGAATTACTCCTGGCAGTGCGCAGGGGACCATATTGGATCCTGGGGATTGAACAGGGTTGACTGCATGTGAGACAAATGCCCCATTCGCTGTATTATCTCTCCAGCCCGGATGGATTTTTTTCAAACTTTGTACATTTAAACACATGTCATCTGCAAATAGACATCTCTTTACTTTCCCCCTTCCACTTTGGATTCCTTTTCTTTTTCTCTCTCATCTTTTGGTTGTTTTTTGGTTTTGTTTTTATTTTTTTGGATCACCCCTGGCGATGCTCAGTGGTTACTCCTGGCTCTGTACTCAGGAGTTACTCCTGGCAGTCCTTGGGAGACCATATGGGATGCCGGGGAATCAAACCCAGGTTGTCCGCGTGCAAGGCAAACACCCTACCTGCTGTACTATCACTCCGGCCCCTCTCTTTCTTTCTTTTTTTTTTTTTTTTTAATTAGTGAAACACCATGAGGTACAGATTTTTGTGCTTGGGTCTCAGTTATACAATGATCAAGTACCCCTCCCTTCACCAGTGCCCATTTTCCACAACCAAGGGTCCCAGTATCCCTCCCACCCCCATCCCCCCCATCTAACCCTGCCTCTGTGGCAGGGCATTCCCTTTGTTCTCTCTCTCCTTTTGGGCGTTGTGGTTTGCATAAGAGTCCGGCCCCTCTCTGCCTATCTTATTTTCTTTTTCTCTCTCTCTTCCTATCCTACTTTATTTTTTTTGTTTTTGGGTCATATCCCACAGTGCTCAGGACTCACCCCTGGCTCTGCACTTGGTATCACTTCTAATGGGCTTAGGGTGCCACTTATAGAGTATGGGGATTGAACCTGGGTCGGCCACATGCAAGGCAACTCTCTACCTGCTGCATATCGCTCTAGCCCCACTCTTTTTCTCTTTTTCTAAAACTGGGTATAGTTATTATTATTATTATTACTTGGGGCATCATGACTTATAAACTTAAAAAGTTTAAATTTTTACTGCTCTGGCCTGGTTTACAAATTGGTGTTAGTAGGATTTCCTACAGGAGCTGTTCCAACAATAGACCCTCCACCATTGTCCTGTTGTCCCTCACCCCTCAACCCCCATGTCCATGCTTTTTCTCTCGTGCCTACTTTCTCTTTTTATGGGGGAGTGGCCACACCCATCAGTGTTCAGGGCTTACTTCTGGCTGTGCACTCAAGGATCACTCCTGGCAGTGTGCTCGGGCGCCATGTGAGACGCTGGGGATCGAACTCAGGTTGGCCAGGTGCACAGCCAGCACCCTCCCCGCTGTGCTATTGTGCTGGACCTTGGGTTCCATCTCTTGCACCCCAGAGCACCGCCAAGAGCTACTCACAGATTCTGAGCCCAGAGTGGCGCTGAGCATCATTGAGTGTGGTCCCCAAGTGGAAAAAAAAAAAAACTGTTCGCTGAGTTTTTCCCAACAAGTTTGTTGTTACTTAGGTGCCTGGGGGTGTAGGTCTGGGTTCTGGGGTAACTCTGGCAGAGCCTGGAACATACTCAGCAGTGCGGGGTGGTGCCAGAGAGCGTCCCTGGCTCATTTCCCACTCCCTGTGTTGGCTTAGATTTTTTTTTTTTGGTGGGGGTGGGGGGGAGTCACACCCATTTTTTTTTCCTCTGGGGCACATGTGGTGCTGAGAAGGGATGGAGCTCGGGCCTCCTGCAGGAGAAGCATGTGCTCGGTCCCCTGGAACGCTCCTTCCTCACAACACTCACTGAGATTTTTGCATGTGTGTTTGGGGTTGGGGCTCAGAAGCTTTTTGCTCCTGACTCTGTGCTCAGGAGTAACCCCCAAACAGTGCTCAGGAGATTGTATGTGGTGCCAAGGATTGCCCTCAGCCTATGCAGGACGAGCACCTTACCTCCTGTATCTCTCTGGCTCCCATTTGTTCAGTTTGGCTGACCCCCACTTGTTCAGTTTGGGGGATTTTGTTATTTTTGTTTTGGGGGGTGTTTTTGGGGGGTTGTTTGGGTTTTTTTGTTTGTTTTTTGTTTTTTGTTATTAGTCACACCCAGCAGTGCTCAGGGCTTAGTCCTTGTTCTGAGCTCAGGACTTACTCCTGGCAGAGTTCGAGGACCATGGGTTGTGCTGGGGATAGAACCCAGGTTAGGGGTTTGAGTGATAATACAGCAGGGAGGGCGCTTGCCTTGCACGCAGCTGACCCAGGTTTGATCCCTGGCTTTTCCTATGGTCCCCGGTACACTACCAGGACTAATTCCTGAGTGCAGAGCCAGGAGTAACCTTTGAGCACCACTGCGTGTGACCCCAAAACCAAAAAGAACCCAGGCTAGTGCACGGCAGGTGCTCTACCACTGGACTGTCTCTCAGCCCTGTATGCTTAGCTGTTTTTGTCTTTTTGGCCACACTCACTGGTGCTCAGGGCTTGTTCCTGGCTCAGCACTCAGGGATCATTCCTGGCAGTGCTCAGGGAACCCTGTGAAGTACTGTGGATTGAACCCAGATCTGCTGTGTGCAAGGCAAATGCCCTCCCTGATGTACTATGGCTCTGGCCCCCGTTTGTTTAGTTTTTGTTTAGTTTTGGTTTGTTGTTGCTTTTTGAGTCACACCCGGCAATGCATAGGGGTTGCTCCTGACTTTGCACTCAGGAATTACTCCTGGTAGTGCTCCAGGGACCATATGGGATTCTGGGAATCAAACCCGGGTTGACTGTGTGCAAGGGAAACGCCCTACCCGCTGTACTATCGCTCCAGCCCCTCATTTACTTAGTTTGAACTGTTGCACACACATATGTGACCAAGACGCCCGCCCCCCCCCCCCCCCCCCACACACACGCCCATTGGATCCAGATCTGATACCCAGGGCAAGAGCTACATATTACAGCAGGTAGGGCGTTTGCCTTGCACGCGGCCAACCCGGGTTTGAGTCCCAGCATCCTATGTGGTTCCCCAAGCACCGCCAGGAGTAACTCCTGAGTGCAGAGCCAGGAGTAACCCCAGAACACTGCTGGGTGTGACCCAAAAAGCTAAAATTAAAAAAAAGATCTGACACCCGTCTCTCCCCCAAAGTGCCCTCATGTGCCTTCACCGATAATCCCCCCAACCCTGCTACGCCCCAGTCAGCTTTGTGCTTTTCATCAGAGTTGAGTCTTGCCTCTTGTGGAACCCAAACGGAGTTTGCTCAGCTCTGACAGTCCCCGTTGCTGCTTCTGGCCCAGAGGGGACACTACAGCCCAGAGGGGTGCAGAGACCTTCCACACACCCCACCCCAGCCATTGAAGTGAACCCCAATCTCCTCCCCCAGGGCGAGAGGCTGAGCCACGCCGTGGGCTGCGCCTTCGCCGCCTGCCTGGAGCGGAAGCAGCGACGGGAGAAGGAGTGTGGGGTCACGGCGGCCTTCGACGCCAGCCGCACCAGCTTTGCCCGCGAGGGGTCCTTCCGAGGGCGGCCGGCCGAGCGAGAGGCCCCTGAAAAAAAGAAAGGTGGGTTCGAGGGCTTGGTGCTGGGGGTGGGGAGAGCCACAGATACTCCGAGACACGTGGGCTTGGGGATTTCCTGCTGGATCTTTGTGTTTGGGGTCTGCTCCCGGTGGCACTCAGGGCAGGCTGCCAGCTCTGTGCTCAGGTTCCGGGAATTGAACCCGGGCTTACAGCCTATCAACCCCGTGAGCCGTCTCTGCAGCTCCTGAGGGTGTTGTGTGGTTTGGGGGCCACACTTGGCAGCTCCCAGGAGCTTCTTCTGGCTCTGTGCTCCCCTCGGTGGGTGCTCAGGGGACCGTGCCCAACCCAGACTGCTCCAGCTGAGTCTGAAGACCTGGGCTGCCTTAGAAAGTGGGCTGGCCAACACTCAGGTGCGGGAAGGCCCAAGGCCTCGGGGGACCTCCCAGGCTTCCTCATTGCTGGGGGCTCCTCCCAGCTCCATGCTGAGCTGGACTCAGACCCAGAACTGCAGGCCGCAGGCTTTACGCTCACTCCCCTCCAAGGCGAATATCGTAAATACTTAATAAAGAGCATCTCCAGAGGCCCTGATGCAGGCAGTGAGGAAACTGGAACTGGCCCAAGAATGAGCAAGGATGAAGCAGTGTGGGACCTCGCTTTCTCTCCTTTGCTTTTCTTCAGTTGCTTTTTGTTCTGGAGCCACACCCAGTGATGGCTACGCCCAGCTGGGTGCTGGGGGTGAGGTTTTCCTAGCCATTGTGGGGGACCTTGCTGTGGAGAGGGTGAAATCCAGCCCTGCTCATGCAAAACCAGCTCTAAGCCTGTTGATCTATTGTCTAGCCAAGTCCAAGCTTTTTTGTTTGTTTGGGTTTTTTTTGGCCCCGGATTCAAGTTCCTATTTTATACCTATATACCCAGGTCAAGTCAAATGATCTCAGTTGAGAGGTTGGAGAGACAGAACAGTGGGTAGAGCGTTTGCCTTGCACGTGGCCGTCCTGGGTTCAATCCACAGCATCCCATATGGTGCCCTGAGCCCACCAGGAGTGATTTCTGAGTGCAGAGCCAGGAGTATCCGCTGGCACTGCCTGATGTGGCCTAAAATCTCACAAAAAAAGGCAGGGGTGGGGGTGGCAAGTAGAACTTGCAGAAGCCCAGCTGTGTTTTTGTTTAGGGACCACAATGCTCAGGGGTTACTTCTGGCTCTGGACTTAGGGATCACTTCAGGTAAAGTAAGTAAAGTAAAGGCCCTCCCGTTGATCATCGATTGGCTCGAGCGGGCCCAGTAACGTCTCCATTGGAGACTTTGTTGTTACTGTGTCTGACATATCGAATACGTCACGGGGAGCTTGCCAGGTTCTGCCATGCGGGCGAGATACTCTCAGTAGCTTGCTGGGCTCTCCGAGAGGGACGGAGGAATCGAACTCGGGTCGGCCATATTGGCTGCGTGCAAGGCAAACGCCCTACCACTGTGGGTGGACCATATAAAATGGTGGGAATAATCCCTAGTCGGCTGAGTGCAAGGCAAGCGCCCTACCCATTGTGCTATCTGTTCTGGACCCAGACAAACCTCTTCACATGCTTATAGGCTGAGGAAGTGGCTCAGCTGGATGCACTTGCCTTGCATGTGCTGGATTGGGTTCCCAGCACGGCAGGGAGGGGAAAAATATATATGTTTATATTATATAACAAATGTAGTATACATAACATTGTATATTATATAAATATAATATATAATTATATATTTAATTTGGGCTGGAGCGATAGCACAGCGGTAGGGTGTTTGCCTTGCATGCAGCCAACATGGCCGACCCGAGTTCGATTCCTCCGCTCCTCTCGGAGAGCCCAGCAAGCTACTGAGAGTATCTCGCCCGCACGGCAGAGCCTGGCAAGCTACCTGTGATGTATTTGATATGCCAAACGCAGTAACAACAAAGTCTCCAATGGAGATGTTACTGGGCCCCCTCGAGGAAATCAATATTTAATTTATTTATTTTTTTTAGAGTCACACCTGGCGATGCACAGGGGTTACTCCTGGCTCTGCACTCAGGAGTTACTCCTGGCGGTGCTCAGGGGATCATATGGGATGCTGGAAATCGAACCCTGGTCGGCCGCGTGCAAGGCAAACGCCCTGCCCACTGTGCTATCTCTCCAGCCCCCTAATTTTATATATAATTGTAGGATTATATTGTATGTCATATTATATGTACAATATAGCACTGTAGCACTGTCCTCCCATTGTTCATCAATTTGCTCGAGCAGGCACCAGTAATGTCTCCTTTGTGAGACTTGTTGTTACTGTTTTTGGCATATCAAATACACCATCGGGGGCTTGCCATGCGGGCAGGATACTCTTGGTAGCTTGCTGGGCTCTCCATGAGGGATGGAGGAATTGAACCTGGGTCGGCCACGTGCAATGCAAATGCCTTATCCACTGTGCTATCCTTCGAGCCCAGGTACAATATATTATTGTAAATATATATGATATATATTATATATTTTAAGTATATACTTTTTATTTTATTTAATTTTTTAAAGTATATACTTTTTAAAAATGGATTTTTTTATTGAATCACTGTGTGATAGACCCTTACAAATCTGTTCGTGATTAGGTTTCAGTCATACAATGTACTTTTTTTTTTAATTGTTCACAACACCTATGCTTTGCAGGCAGGAGCCCAGGCCCAGGTGTGATTGCTGACACTGCACAGTCCCCTGAGCACTTATGGGAATGAGCACAGTGCTGGGAGTAGCCCCCAGCACCACTTGGGAGTGATAGCCACCTCCACCCCACAAAAAAAGGAACTTTCATACCCCATGAGAGTGGAGTGAGGAGCTAGCAGCTTATTAACAGTTCGCCTGGGTCCCCAGCCCTTCCGTATGAAAATATCCCTTGACTGTTTATCTAATTAAAGTGTCAGAAGCTATAAGGAATGTTATCACAGGGGTCAGGGCAGGGAAGGAGCTTGTGGGTTGTTGTTGTTTGTTTTTTGTTTTGTTTTGTTTTGCTTTTTGGGTCACACCCAGCGATGCTCAGGGGTTACTCCTGGCTCATGCACTCAGGAATTACTCCTGGCGGTGCTCGGGGGACCAGATGGGGTGCTGGGGGTCGGCCGCGTGCAAGGTAAATGCCCTACCTGCTGTGCTATCGCTCTGGCCCTGCTTGTGGGTTTTGGTCCCAGCACCACATCCAGTCCCTTGTGCACTGCCAGGTGTGATTCCTGAGAGCTTCCTGGTGTGGCCCCAAAGCAAAAAAGCCAAAAAGGAATCAGGCTTTCCAAGGAGCCCCAGGAGAATTCAGATCGGAGCAGAAAGCCCTGTCAAGACAGAGGGTGGGTGTGGGGGACGGGCCTTCCCAGCAGGGGGAGGTGATTTCAGCCTGAGCCCTATGAGGGACATTGCAGGGCGGTCACCAGCCTGCAGGGGGCGCTGGGTGAGGGAGGCAGCATGGGGGAATGACCTGGGCCAGCAGGAGGCTGCAGTGAGGCGAGTGACCTTGTGTCCTGTGTCTCCAGCAGAGGCAGCAGCTGCCCCCTCCGCGGCGCCCGGCCCCGCACAGCCTGGACACGTGTCTCCGACACCCGCCACCACATCCCCCGGCGAAAAGGGGGAGGCGGGTACCCCGGTGGCAGCGGGCACCACAGCGGCCGCCATCCCTCGGCGCCACGCCCCCCTGGAGCAGCTGGTTCGCCAGGGCTCCTTCCGGGGCTTCCCCGCCCTCAGCCAGAAGAATTCGCCTTTCAAACGGCAGCTGAGCCTGCGGCTGAACGAGCTGCCGTCTACACTACAGCGTCGCACCGACTTCCAGGTGAAAGGCACAGGTGAGCCCCAAGGGGGAAGAAGTTTCTGGATCTCGACTGCATCTGTAAGGGGTGGGACATGCCACAAGCCACAAGCACCATCAGCCATTGGCTAGGGTCGGTCTGAGACCAGCCAGGGAGAGAAGCAGAAAACTTTTGTTTTGTTTGGGGGCCACACCCAAACACGATGCTCAGGGGTTACTTCTGGCTCTGCACTCGGGAATTACTCCTGGCAGGGCTCCAGGGGACCATGTGAGATGCCAAAGATTGAACCTGGGCTGGCTGCATGCAAGGCAAGCCCCCTACCCACTGTACTGTTGCGCGGGCCCCAGAGCAGGAATCATGATAATCTTGCTGTGGACATAGGGAAGAATCAAGGCGAAATAGGGCTGGATTGATTGGCAGAGTTGACTGGCCTTAGGGAAAAGAGTGCGCTGGAGAGATAGTATAGCGAAAGGGGAGGCATTTGCCTTGAACATGGCTGATCCTGATATCCCTGAAACCCACCAGAAGTGATCCTGAGCTCAGAGCCAGGACTTAGCCCTGAGCACTGCTGGGTGTGGCCTACAAACAAAAAAGGAGAGGGACTGGCCTCTACCTGGACTGGTTAGCAAAAGAGAAGAAACAGCATGTGTATGTCGGTGTTTGGTTTAGTAGGAATCTGATGCCCCGATTCCTTCCAAGCATTGCCATCAGGCCAACGAAGGGTCCAAGTGGGTGGTACCCAGGAATGTGGTGGATTAGCACCATCTACAGTAATGAGGCTGGGAGCCTGGAGAGTTGATGTGTATGATTGGCGTGCATGATCTGTGTGCAAGATTCTTATGCGTGATCCATGTGTATGACCCTTGTGCATGATTGGCGTGTATGATTCATGTGCATGATCTGTATGCATGTTCCATGTGCATGACCCGTGTGCACAGTCGGCATTCATGATCTGTGTGCATGATTAGCATGCATGATTGGCGTGCTTGATCCGTGGGTATGATCCGTGTGCATGACCCGTGTGCATGATCGGCATGCTTGATCCGTGTGCATGGGCTGTGTGCATGATCAGCGTATATGATCTTTGTGCCTGATCCAGCAGAGCATGACCAGACACATGACCAGAGGAAGCAGGAGGTGAAGAGAGGCATCAGGCAGCATGGCGAGGGGCTTGGGATGCTGCCTTTGGGCCAAGGCTTGGGCACCCACCTCCACTGTTTAGCCACTCTAGCCAGGGACTGTGACAGGAAGGACGGGTCCCATCACTGACTCGCAGTGACAGGAGCCAGAGGCGCAGTTGCTGACAGCAGATGCGTCTGAAGTATGAGTCACGCAGGTGATTTCATTGTGTGTCTGTCATAGAGTGTAATTACACAGACCTCGACCCTGTCACCCACTTGGCTCTGTGGCTATATATAGAGCCTCTGTCTGGGTGACCAGAGGCATTATCAGTGCAGTGGCTCTGTGAACACCCACTCGGAGGGAAAAGGGGAAGACAAGGGCCAGGCCCCTCCCATCATTTGGCCAGTCTCCCGTAGAGGTCTGGTCTGGGGAGGAGTAAGGTGAGTTTGGTGGGAGAAAGCATCGTATTTGATTACTAATGTCTGCTGTGGCCAGGAGGAGGAGAGCCGTGGCAGAGATCATGATCCGACAGCCAAGCGTGAGGCCGGGGACGTGACTGAGTGCTACAGTGCCCGCTTGGCAGGCGTGAGGCTCTGGGTTTCACGTCTGGCTCTGGGGAGGAGAGGAAAGATGGGGGCTGTTGCTGGAGGGATAGTATGGTAGGTAAGGTACTTGCTTTGCTTGAGGCAAACCTGGATTTAGTCTCCAGCTCCCTATATGGTTCTCTGAGCACTGCCAGGAGTGATCCCTGAGCTCGGAGCCAGGAATAAGTTCTGAGCACTGCTGGGTGTGTCCCCCCAACCAAAAATAAATAAATAAATAAATAAATAAATAAATAAATAAAAGCAATGTTTGCAGGGACTGGAGTGATAGTATAGCAGGTTGGAGGTTTGCCTTTCAGGCAACAAATGTAGTTTCGATTCCCAGAACCACATATGGTCCTCCTAGCTGCCAGGGGTGCCCAGGAGTAACTCCTGAACATCGCTGGATGTGGCCCCCACTTCAAAATAAATATATAAATGAATAATAATTTCTTTTTTTTTGGGCTTTTTGGGTCACACCCGGCAATGCACAGGGGTTACTCCTGGCTCTGCACTCTGGAGTTACTCCTGGTGGTGCTCAGGGAAATATGGGATGCTGGGAATACGAACCCAGGTCGGCCGCGTGCAAGGCAAACGCCCTACCCGCTGTGCTATCTCTCCAGCTCCCTGAATAATTTCTTTTTTTAAAAAAAAAAGATGTTTACTGTGGGAAAAGGAGGAAAAGGTGACAGGTCTCTCCCTCAAGGAGCCACTGTGTGTGGGTGGTCTTCCCCGCAGTTCCTGGGGCCAAGCATCGGTCCTAATTCCATTCCAAATTCAGACACATGGGGGCCAGAATGATAGTGCAGTGGGTAGGACGTTTGCCTTGCACAGGGAAAACCTGGGTTCAATCCCCAGCATCCCATTTGGTCCCCCTGAACCCCACTAGAAGTGATCCCTGAGTGCAAAGCCGGGAGTCAGCCCTGAGCACCATCAGATGTGACTCCCCCAAAATGAAAATAAACCAAACCTGAAGCACCTGCTAGAGGCTGGGGCTGAGGAAGAAGGTGTGGGTCTGTATCCAGGGGGCAGGCTGCAGGCCTAATTCTTTTTTGAGGTCGGGAGCAGGGTGTTCAGGCACCGCTCACAGCTGGTGGTACTCGGGATCAAATCGGGGTCAGCCATGTACAGCCATCTTCACCTCTGGACTAGCTCTGCCCTCTGACCTACCCCCAGAGTGGCTTCTGAGAGGTGTCCAGCCTCCGCAGGACACACACAGGGGCAGCCTTGCAGCTATGCTGTCCCTGTGTACCACCCCACCCCACCCCGGACTGTCACAATTTCTCTGTGTGAGGGGGCAAGCACCCCAGCTTTATTGGGGAGCCTCAGCCTCCTGACATCAGCTGCCCACTTGTGGAGAGGAACTCTGGGCGGGGCTTAGGCCGTTCATTCCCCTCCTCTTCTCCCTGATGCCCCCAGTGCCGGAGATGGAGCCCCCTGGGGCCAGTGACAGCGACGGCATCAGCGCCCTCTGCACGCAGATCAGCTCTTCCTTCGCCAGTCCTGGGGCCCCCACATCAGGGCCCCCGCCCACCTCGACAGGTAAGCCCAGCCTGAGTCATCGGTGGGGGCAAACCCCGGCACCACCCCTCCAGTCAAGGACCCCCGGGGTCACCACTCCAGGAATCTTGGTGTCTTGTTGCTTTAGCATGAGGGGTTGGCTTGAACCAGGGTCTCTGCCGGAACTCTTCCTGTCTGAAATGATGCTTCTAGCTCTCAGGCTACCCTGCCTCCAAGCCGTGAACCTTCCACAGAGTGCTCTGAGCACTGGGGGCTCATCCTGGTCCCCCTGGGAGGGCCTTAGAATTGCTGACCTTCAGAGTCAGAGCGATAGAGGTGGGAGGGCGCTTGTCTTGCATGCGGCCGACCCAGATTCAATCCCCAGCACCACCCTGAGCCCCGCCAGGTGTGGCCCCAAAGCAGACAGAAATTTTCATGGGAGCACAGCGGGTTAAAGCACGGGCCCTGTAAGAGGGGAAGCAGGTTCAAAGCCCAGCACCGCAGATGATTTCCCAAGAAGCACCACCCGGGGTCACTCCTGAGCACAGCCAGGAGTAGCCCCTGAGCATCACTGGGGACGGCCCAACACCCACCCGCCCACCCCAGTAAGTAAATGAAAAGATTTACTTGTTATGCTTCGGGCACTGCCCAGCCAGAAGGAAGGCGGAGCTGGGTGGGGGTGAGTCCAACTGAGACCACCCCGCCTCCCGCACTGTAGAACCAGCAAGGGCCTTCCCAGCAGTGCTTGGTGACCGGAGTGGTCCTGGGGCCCCTGCCCGGGGCAGCGCAGCGCCCCCAGACCCCGACCCCCAGTCCGGGGTCCCTCATGTGCCCTGCTTGCTGCCTTCTGCAGGGACATCTGCCTGGGGCGAGCCCCCCGTGGCCCCCGCCGCGGCCTTCCAGCCCGGGCACAAGCGGACCCCTTCGGAGGCCGAGAGGTGGCTGGAAGAAGTGTCCCAGGTGGCCCGAGCGCAGCAGCAGCAGCAAGCCGCCGCCGTGCCCGCCGCCGTGCCCGCCGCCCTGCAGCCCTACCCCGCCCCCGTGGGGCCCTTCGACGCCGCGCCCGCCCAGGTGGCCGTGTTCCTGCCGCCCCCACACATGCAGCCCCCGTTCGTGCCCGCCTACCCGGGCTTGAGCTACCCCCCACTGCCCCGGGTGCCCGTAGTGGGCATCACGCCCTCCCAGATGGTGGCCAACGCCTTCTGCTCGGCTGCCCAGCTCCAGCCGCAGCCCGCCGCCCTGCTGGGGAAAGCGCGGGCCTTCCCGGCCCCCGCCACGCCCAGTGCCCCGGGGGGCCAGGTCCGCCCCCGCCCCAGTGGGGCGCCCTGGCCCCCGGAGCCCACCCCGGCCCCGGCCCCGGAGTTGGACCCCTTCGAGGCCCAGTGGGCGGCCTTGGAAGGCAAACCTGCAGCCGAGAAACCGCCCAACCCCTTCTCCGGCGACCTGCAAAAGACCTTCGAGATTGAGCTGTAGCAGCGTGTGCGGGTGCCTGACCTGGGGGCTGCAGGCACCCCCCGTCCCGCAGCCTGCGCCCCCCAACACCCATCCCTCCTCCCCGCTCCCCCCACCCCCTCTATAGGACCCATAGGACGCCCAGGCGGGGACAGGAGGAAATTCAGGGACAGACCCCGCCTGGCGAAGGGACCCATCTGTAGCTGACAATGCTGCTCCCCCGACCCAGGCCCGAGGACCCCCACAGAGGACCCTCCGTTTAAGCTCCATTTCCCGGTTTCTTTTGTACACCTCCACCTTCCAGTGTTCGGGCAGGCTGGAGGACGGATGCCCACGGAGGGGCTGCCCTAGGCCCCCCATGAGCGTGCACCCCGAGCCTGGCCCTTCCCCCCAAACTCAGCACAAGCAAAGGGCTTCCCTCTGCCCACCCGCTGCGTTCACTGCCAACGCTGTGCTCGCCCCCCTCTCCCACGCAGGGTCACCTCTTCTTTGGGCCAAGGTCTCGGTGAGGGCAGGGGCCAAGTTGGGGGGCCCAGGAGGAGGGCAAGGGGGACAGGAAGGAGATGCTCAGTTACCTCACGTTGGTGCCCGTGGTGTAGGGGTCCCGGAAGAAGAGGGAGGGGTGCCTGGCGGGTACTTTTCTATCTTTTATTTCCAGATTTTTTTGTATCTAAACTTGCAGATTTGTATTATACAGGACAGCCAATAAAGGAAGATATAATGGAGCCCAGCAGGAAAGCAGGGTTTTTGTGGGGCCGGGGGTTCTCGCAGAGCCTTTGCCTCCAAGTGACACTAGCACCAACACTGAACAAGTACTTGAGAGACGGATACTGGAAAGGACCAGTGAGCTCAGAGGTTAGTGCACCTGGCCCCCGACTGGAACCCTGAACCACCTGGTCCCCTGAGCACCACTAGGATGGCCTTGTTGGTCCCCGGCATGGCACAAGCACTTCCACACCCTCCGGCCCAGCCTCTGATCTATGCAGCCAGACCAGCTGAGTTTCACCCCAGGACGGGCCCCCAGACCTCCTGAGCACTGCTTGAGAGGTCTCGATATTTAAAAAAAAAAAAAAAGATTAGGGGGCCGGAGTGATAGTACAGTGGGTAGGGCGTTTGCCTTGCACACGGCTGACCTGGGTTCAATCCCCAGTATCCCATATGGTCCCCCAAGCACCGTCAGGAGTAATTCCTGAGCACAGAGTCAGGAATAACCCCTGAGCATTGCTGGGTGTGACCCAAAAACGCAAAAACAAAATAGAAAATAGATCCCTGACACCCTACATCCCCCTGAGCAACTCCAGGACTTTTCTTGGAGCAGAGTCAGAAGTAAGCCCAGAGCACCTTTGGGTGTGGCCCAAAGACAAAACAATAATAATAAGGATAGGGTGGGAAAAATAACAGCAGGTAAGGGAAGTTCTTGCCTGGCATGTGACTTACAGGTGGTTTGATCCTTGGCATCCCACATGGTCCCCTGAATCCCAGCAGAAGTCGGAAATGCGCAAAGTCGAAAATGAAAACAAAAATTGAAGAGTACCGCAACGTTAATTAGCCCAGCACAAATTTTGAACCAAAGGACTTTTCTTTCTTTCTTTTTGGGTCATACCCGGCGATGTTCAGGGGTTACTCCTGGCTCTGCACTCAGGAATCACTCCTGGTGGTGTTTGGGGGACCATATGGGTTTCTGGGAATTGGCCTCATGCAAAGCAAATGCCCTACCCGCTGCGCTATCGCTCCAGCCCCCCAAGGGACTTTTTAACTAGGGCTGGAGAAGTAGTACAGTGAGAGGGCACTTGCCTTGCACACAGCCAACCTAGGTTCAGTCCCTCAGCACCATATACGTTCCCCTGAGCACAGAGCCAGGAGTAAGCTCTGACCACTGCTGGGTAGATATGGCTTTAAAACGAATCTGTAGCTGGTGAATTTAGTATTCAGACTTTATTATACAAGTGTTTGCCGTCCCAGGGTCACACACATGCTTGGCTCACCTTGGGTCGCACATTCTGTAGTGCTCCCTGATTGGGGCTGCTAGGCTCACAGCTGCCCTCCAGGGGAACCCTCTGCAGGGTATCTGAGACATTTGCACAGCCCAGGCCAGGCGTCACAAGAAGCACAAGTGCCAACATCCATGCTCCATGCATGTGGCTGCACCAGGACACAGGGCTTTTGCAAGGCCTTTATACCACTGAGCCATCTCCTGTCTCCCGAGTTTCAAATTTTATTTATTTTTTGGTTTTGGCACCACACCCAGAGGTGCTCAGGGCTTATTCCTGGCTCTGCACTCAGGGATCACTCCTGGCGGGGGTTCAGGGAACCATAAGGGATGGTCCCTGGCTGGCTGCATGCAAGACAAGTGCCCTCCTGCAGAATTAGCTCTCCAGTCCCACACCCTGGATCTCAAGGCTGCCACCTGCTGGCGCTGACTCCTTTGCTTTGGTTTCCCTCAACCTGACCTGACCTGTCACTGTTCCCCCTGCAGTGAGCACAGGTGGGACCAGTGTCTCTGCACTGGTCATCTCAGTAGTTCAGCGCTGCCAAGGACTGGTGAGTGACAGGCGTTTTTTTTCAGCTGAGGAACCAATAGGGAGACTGAAGCTAAGGAGCCACACAGCAAACCAGGGACAGGCAAGACCCTCCCTACTGGTGCTCACATCCACATACAACGTCCTTCCCTTGGGCTGGAGAGACCACAGCGGGTAGGGCGTTTGCCTTGCATGCGGCTGACCCGGGTTCGATTCCCAACATCCCATATGGTCCCCTGAGCACTGCCAGGAGTAACTCCTGAGTGCAGAGCCAGGAGTAACCCCTCTGCATCGCCAGGTGTGACCCAAAAAGAAAAACAACAACAACAATGTTCTTCCCTGCCTGGTGTGGAGGAGCTCCTGGGGGCCAGTACCCTGATTCCTTAGTAGCTCTCCCACTTCTCTGGGGACTAATTCTTCAGGCCTCATCACAGAGATCTCTGAGGTCCAGGATAAACAACCACCTTCAGCCCTCTAAGAACAGCAAGGAAACTCGGATTGGCACCTAACACTGGGCTGTATCCCCACATCATCCCATTGATGGCATTTGTAGAGACGTCCAGCTGCCCCCTCCGGTTCACTTTGTTATTTTGGGGGGGGGGGAGCCAGAGCTGGCGATGGTCAGTGGATCACTCCTGGTGGGGTTTGAATTGAACTGGGGTCCAGCCACATGCAAGTCAAGTACCTTTCAACCCTGTACTATCTTTCCGTCCACCCAGTTCACTTTAGAAAATCTTGCTGATTTGGGGGCTGGAGCTATAGTACAGCGGGTAGGGCGTTTGCCTTGCACGCAGCCGACCCATGTTCAATCACCGGCATCCCATATGGTCCCCTGAGCACTGCCAGGAGTGAAAAGTGAAAAGTCAGGAGTAACCCCTGTGCATCGCCTGGTGTGACCCAAAAGACAAAAATAAAAATCTTGCTGATTTTGAGCACTGATCAAACAGCCAAAGAGCCGGGTCCCATAGGAGCTCCTGTAGGACACCAATTTTGGAAAACTGCACCCATCAATGTCTCATCAACACGCCCACTTAGGAGGTCCCGCCCCTCGCTGCCTCTCTGTCAGACTCATTTCGTGAAGCCCCGCCCCTCTCCGCCTAATTGCCACGCCCATTTCATGAAGCCCCACCCTCGCCTGGTGGCCGTCTCCCGGGAAACGGCACACACTCTGGGGGAATCTGCTCTGACCCAGCAGAGCGCGACAGAATGCCCGGGCCAGCTCCACTGCCCGGCGTGTGACCTCTCCCCGCGTCTCTTGCCTCAGTCTCCTAGGAAATGACTCCTCCACAGGACACCCCCAACCCAAACACTCCCTTCGGCCGCTGAGAAACCACGTGGCTCGGGGGAGTGACTCCTGAGCGTGATATAACAGCGCCGCCTTGTGGTCCAGTCTGGGGTTTCGCGGCTTGACCGGAGTTGGTGGCTGGAAGGGAGCCTGGCCAACCAGCCCGTGCCGAAGCAGAAAAAATGTGGTTTGAGGTTTCATTGGAGAGGGGTTGTGGGGGACCACACCTGGAGGACTTCCTGAACTAACTCCCTGGTCTTAATTTTCTTATAAAAGGGACCGGAGGGGCCGGAACAATAGTACAGTGGGTATAGGGTGTTGTTTTGTTGTTGTTTTTGCCACGCCTGGCAATGCTCTTGGGAGTTACTCCTGTCTCCGCACTCAGAAATTACTCTTGTTGGTGCTCAGGGGATCAGATGGGATGTCGGGGCTTGCACCCAGGTCTGCCACATGCAAGGCAAGTGTCTTACTGTACTATCACTCCAGCCCCTATTTTTAGCGGTGCTCAGGGCACACCTGGCAATGCTCAGGTGTTACTTCTAGATCTGTGCTCAGAAAATACTTCTGGTGGAGCTCAGGGGATCAGATGGGATGTCAGAGATCATAACCAGGTCAGCGCGTGCAAGGCAAACGCCCTACCACTGTACTATTGTTCCAGCCTCTTTTATAAGGATGAAAATTAAGGCCTGGGAGTTAGTTTAAAGACTGGTATCAGGAGGCCCAGATCTCTGGCACTTCATGGTCCCCTGAGTACTGCATAATCTCTGAGCACTGCCGGGTGTGGTCATCAACAGACAAAAAACAAATCATAAAGCAAAGAAAGCGGCCAGAGCAATAGTACAATGGGTGTGACCAAAAACAAACCAAAAGAAAAAAAGAGTGTAAAAGGTTCCTGAGTTCAAACCGTTTCAGAAAAGCTGCTCTCAGCAGCCGTTTCCCACGTCACTGTGTGATCCCAGGGCGACCCCAGACATGGCCCATTCTCAGATACCCTCCGACACTGCACTGGCCCAGGCTGAGCCAACAGGAGTTTCTGTCCTCTGTCATCTATGTGACCGGACCACCCCAGGAACTCTAGAATTGCCAGGATGAGCTGATGCTGAGGAGCAAGACTGCCAAGTACCCCAAGCCCAAGGTCATCCAAAAAACTCACAAGAGGCCCGGTCTCCACCATTCCCTTCTGCTCCCTCACCCTCCGTCTCTGTAAAAAAGGAACAGAGGAGTTGGAGCTATAGAACAGCAGGGAGGGTGCTTATCTTGCACACAGTAGGTCCAGTT